CGCGCATGCCATCCTGCTAGAAATCTTGACCTACAGTGCGTCAATCAATAATCAGAAATCAAGTAAATTTGCATAAAGGCTTATCACCAGCTTATAAATCAGCAGTGACTTATTTACTACTATGCATTAGCCCATCCCAAGTGAGTACTAAATATTTTGCTGGTTTGCCATGGTTGGTTCAATCAGACGTTTGCAGAGATGGTTATGAAATAAAATGCGATAAAAATAAATTCCCGACTTGGCCATAAATTCTGAATGCTCTCCCTTCTGTTAAGTGCAACACAAGTCAAATTAAGCAGAGTAAGGGCGATAATTTGTGATAAATAAGTCGGGCTAGCAGGAACAGGGCAATAATACATGCCATTCAGAGTTTAGTTTAGCACGAGGGCATTTTTCCTCGGAGCAAAATCAATTTTCTCGCTCATTGTCCCATTTCCTTCCTTCCTACTATCTCCATCCATCCACCTTCACAGCCACCTTCTCCTCCCAGCAGCCAGGCTACACGTAGGAACGTATGGCACACAATTTAGTGCTGACTGCCGTGCGTATAAATCCACACTTTCTCCACGCCAGCCTCTGAGAAGAAGGCAGCAGGAATGGTCCAAGTTGCCGGATCTGTAACTGTTTTATTACTGTCAAGAATGGGAGGAAGAAGTTGGACCAATTCTTGGAGAAAAGTTTGGGTGTTTTTTTTCTTCTGGTGGCTGCCTGGCTTTGCCTGTCTGTCTCAACTAGTTCATACACCACTCGGTTCGACTCAACACTCTCTCTCCTCCTTGTCAACTCGCACTCAAAGCGCTCAGCCTTCTCCATCTCCATCCATCCAACACGTTTAACCCCTTTCTCACCACCGCCAATGTGCTCCTACTGAATGCAGAAGGAGATGCTTCTTCCTCCTCGAACAACGCGTTAGACAACACTTTTTCGACTTGGTGGTGTGAGAGCAAAGTAGTCGAAGACGAGGATGACTAGAGGATGATGGGTGGTGCGAAGATAGGTCGCTTTCTCCAAAAAGATAGGTCCACCCATTATAGACATACCGTGTCAATTGCCATTATATCTCGCAGGTTGACATGCCATGCCAGTCAGCCACCTTGACTGGTCCAATGCCTACATACTGCGGCCTGTAAGGCCAAGTCTAGAAAAGTGCAAATGATAGTAAATAGGCTTTTCAACGACATTTTCCATCCTTCGCTCAATTCTTTCCTTCCATCTCGGACCGGGAGAATGAAGGGAAAAGCAGTTTGTAATGGAGGTGAAGGAAAGTAGAAAGTTATTGGAATAAGTGGGTGAGTGTGAAAAATCGATTGCTGAAACCATCTCATTCCATTCTAATCAGGAATTCACGAGCGTGTGTAGAAAAAAATGTTGTTCCACTCTTGTACCAATGAAATGAAATTATAAGGTACACATATATACGCAGGATGCTTCCAGAGGGTGCAAAAAAAAGGTGAAACTGCAATCAGGAAAGTCAAACATTTAGGTTTTCACAAGAAGATACTAGAGTATTCCCATTCAGTAAGCAAGGAAACACTTCATCCATCAGACAGACCGTCTGAGAATCATTCAAGTTTTCAGCATGACATAATTTTGAATGGAAATCCTAATACGTAAGAATTTAATTACAGCCTTTTGAAAGACGGCAAGTCTAGTCTCAAAAGGTTATAATCGATAATAATTGTGACGCAAATTAACAACTTCAATTGAGATGACTTGCAAAATGACGGCCGTTGACAGTGATATTGGCAAAAATAAAACCCTGTTTCAAGTTGATTTACCATGATTGACCGAGTGGTAATGAACTTTAACCTAAATATAGCCGGGCGACCGGACAGTTCTGTCGACGGTGTGATTATTAATAGCTCGCTAAAATGGGGAAAACACTTTAATAATCTACCCAATGACATATTGCATTACCCATTACACACACCTCTTACGTATCCCTACGACTTGCTGATGAGACGGATGGAATGGATATGTATGTATGGTCGTATATACGTAAGTATAAATGGAATTCATCCATCACCACCACCGAAATAGTCGACGCTGAAACATTATTGATTTTCCTGAATAGTTTAAGGAATATTAAAACAGGTAGTGAGTTAACGTAATGAATATGAACGCGTTTACTTGTGCAACCAAACTTGCTAACGTAACCACACAAAAATAAGTGTCCTATTATTTCCGGTTGTGTGCGGTGGACTATTATGGAATCAAATATCACACAAGTTGACTATCCTCGCGAAAATTGGTTGATGATATCTATCTGCGGATGGATGGCGTGCATACGTAGAGAGACAGGTTGATGATATGACGCAAGAAGAAAAATATAGCGAGAGAGAGAGAACTGATCTCCCACCACCCCATTCTCCATGTAAGTTTCCAGTACGGCTTCCCTGGCAGAAGCTGGCTGAAGCAAATTCACTGTACTCCGTGTATTTAGTAGCCTGAAGCCTTTTTTCTTCCTCCTTCGCTGTATCCATCCATGGGAAAGTCTTTGATCAAAATCAAACTGAGATCAGAAAACGTGCAAGTTCTTTTCCACCCACCATCCTTTCTCTCATGCATGCGAAACTGTGGCGTAGTAGTTGGCCTGCGATCATATGGCTGAGCGAGCCAGAGCTACCATGCAAACATAAGGCGGCGACGACGACGAGGAGACCGAGACCACCGACTTTCCCATATACACACGATTTCTCCATGCAAAGGAGGAATCTCAATATTGTCAATTTCTTCTAAGAGTCTCTAGTGGAGACTAAATTGATGCTTAAAGTAGAAAAACGGGGGTTGTGCTTTGCATACTTCATATTTAAAACACAAATTCTAGCAAACTTGCAGACGATACGATGAGATAACTGGAGCACACAATTCTTTCATGTAATATGTATAAGTATGGCCCTTTTTCTCGCTCTCTCTCTCTTCGCTGGGACGCTCTTCGATTCAAGTCGCTAAAAGCTCTATACCTCAACTTGCGTGAAATTGCCACTGTGAATCTAGCAACAATCTAATGGTTAAAATAATGGATTTTCTACACAACAAGCCCCAATGGGAAGCTATTGCGAGTGATCCTAGTATTGAAACAACCTGTAACCAAGCTAAATAATCAAAACAGGGTCTGAATTATCCCTTTGTTAAAACTTAAATCGGACCACGCCAAGAGTGGCGCATTGTGTCGTACCGTTTCTTCAAAGTCTTTTCACGGTTGAATGAACGTTGTTGAGATGATCATATTTAAATATGAAGATGAGTCACGACTTTTTGTAGAAAATGACAACAGATGATGATGGGAAGTTAATGTTGGTGGAAGTAACAACGACGGCTGACTCGAGCAGTCGTCAGGAGGCGGCTTGCGTCTTCTTCCTCTGCTCATCTCCACACACATCCTTTTGTATTCTGCTGGATGCATTGTATTCTCTAATAACATTTTGAATTTGCATGACGACAAACTCAGTGAGGTGAAACAAACCAATACGAGGAGGGGTTGAGCTAGGGCGGCAGAGCGACGAGCAGCCAGCAAGGCGTGTGTTCTTGTATGTGTGGGAAAGCTAGTCTCTGATTTTTTCATTTAATACTCAAGAGAATTATGCGCACTTTGCCTCCAAGTCTCTATTATGCTCTGTATTACGCAATAATGCACCAAACCAGGATCAAGTATCATACAAAGGGCAGAGCGTAACAAAAGTGAAAGCTGAGAAGCATGAATCGATTCTAAAGCCAATGTCAACCCGCCGCTTCCTTTTCCCATTGGGCGTTAGTGTTACCTTCATTCATAAAGAATTGATGAGCATCTCAGCATTTTCCTTCTGGGTTCAAATGATATTGTGATGTGAACTTTGAGATGCATCATAATCTGCTCCTGCCGCTGCTGCACTGCTGTGCATCACGCCGCCAGTGAGTACACATTACCAACAACAGCAAAAGAATGGCTATACAATTTCTTTTGAAGGAGAATAAAGTAACACCTTTGCCACTGGTGACTCGTATGGACACACAAGAAGTTTGTGCACATGGCAACGGTTTTTTAGACTTTATTTTCTTGACGAACTCAATTGGTAGGGAGCAGTATGAAACTATCTTGAACAGACACGTTTATGAAAGTTTTTTGAGGATTTCCTTTCAGGCAGGAGAAGTTAGGTCGGTCGGTCGTGTGTTTGTCTTATCTCACTTTAAGAAAATCCAATACATGGAGTAAACCACCTGAGAGAAGTAAATAAGTAAGTACGAGTGCAGAAGCGTGGGATGAAGATGAACCATTCTAAATATTTAACTTTACTTTGGTCCCACATTTACCAGAGTAGGTAGCATTAAACCAGCATTATACAATCCAACAGAAATCTTGTCCAAGTGCAAAGACCATAGTCATTTTCTTTCCACGAGTTTTACCATTTTGGACTCGAGAGTTTAGTGTCATTTCTAACTTGAGCTGCACTGCTTAAGTGACTCAAGTCCCAACAACCCACCAGCAGTGTTGAGTCAGCGTTTGGCTGATGGAACAAAAGCTGAAGAAGAAATGCAATCTACTGTCAAAGTTGTGTAGTGTGCCACGTCCAGTTTCGGAGAAAGCTCCTGGTTCGCTTGATGGATAATAATGCTATGCTAATCGGATTTAAGTAGAAAGACCACCTCCATTCAACTGTAGAGTTGGAGCAGTAATGATAAGTAAGCCGTCCTTTGACGAGGAACACAGTGAAATTGGATGGATTCAATTTAAAAGGAATACCTGAGTGTAGAAAATAAAGAGTTCTGAAAGACTGGATAGGATAATGTGGACAATGACCATTTGAATGAGTCAAATTGATGACAATCGTACTACATAATCGTAAATATATGACCGAATGAGCTGGTGCCGCTTCACATGTGTTGTAACATGTGCGTATGTATGTATATGCATACACATTAGCAGTGTCACTGACCCTGTATGGGTTTCTGCATTGTATTAGTGAAATTAAGGAACAAAAGCCTCACAACGTGGAATAATTGGTCAATTAATTTTAATTTACCTGCTTCCGCTCGGTCGGCACTTGATGCCGAGTCCATTGGATAAACGTGGATCTCGTTGGATGTGATGACGGGGGCGACATTTGGTAAAAGTACGCAGAGAGCAAAAACGATTATGTAGATGAAATCACTTCTTACTGAACTAATTTGACACCTGACACGCTTGCTGAGGGGTCCATTGGAGAAAGTCGGATGGGACTCGCTGGTGGTGAGAGTGGTGGACGACGGCTTTCTCTTCCTCATCCCATCACAACAACCGCCACCGCTCCTTCTCCTTGAGCCGCTGACACAAAACCCGCATCTTCTTCTACCACCTGTACAAGATGATGAGAGTGGCAGTGGTTGTTGAGGAGCAGGAGGTGTTGGCGAGGAGGATGCCACATTAGACCACAGCCATGACGGACGTAATAGAAAGGACGTCCACAAGCGTGTCGGCCGAGGAGACGACGACCTTTTCTCTGGCGACTTGAGATCAAAAGTGGGAGAATGGAGAAGGTGGTGGCTGCTGCTGCTGCTGCTGCTTCTCCTGAAGGTGGAGAAAGGAGGGAAGGAGAAGAACAATTTGGAGCAATAATGGCTAATGCATGTCACTCTCAGTATCAAGCTCAATAATCTAATAAGTATTAGTTGAGCTGCTACTACACTGGGTACTTTTGATAATCGTGGAGAAGAAGGACGACGCACACTGGAAGAAGGAGATTGCAATTGATGCTGACGATGCCACACTCCACTATTAGTCCTTGGGCCGTGCGGCACATTGCTGGCGAGCAGAGAAGGTGGAGGTAATGGTATTGACTTCGGCATTAATTCTAATTCCGTCGTCCCTACTTTCACCCGTTCTTCTGCTGCCAGTCGTGGCTGTAGGTGGTGGTCCTGGTCTCTTCTTTCTCCATTCTGGAGGTCCGTTTGGCCACTCTGCCACCAATTTGAAGAAATTGGTGAAGAGAATAGGAAGGGTTCTGATGACGCTGGTAGAAGAAGAGGAGGAGGAGAAGGAGGAAGAATTTTAGAAATTTTGTCACCATTGGGACAAGCAGCAGAAGAGCTGCCACAAGTTGATGTCGTGGCCTTTGACAATTTGGTGAAGGAAGATAAAGGTTCGTCTTCAAAAGGAAAATGTCTTTGGCTAGAGTGGAACCCGTATTTTTGATAATTATCATTATACTTGGCATGGCAGGGTCGACTCAAAATCGACCTCTTGTTCAATTTCAATTTAAAAGCTTCACTTTCCTCTCTTCGTTTATCCCTGTTCCAAATGTGGAAAACTGAGTGACTTCGCCCATTCCGCCTCCGTTTGAAGTTACGCTTATTATTACACGAGGACATGCTGTTGACTTGCAATAATGGTAGAGACTGGTCTTCCATGTTCTTTTATAGGGAAAATATCTATGAGTTTTGGATACGGTTTAATTACATGGCACACCAATAATATTCACCGAATATCTATATGAACATTTTCTCCTTCTTCACACAACTCATAATTATTAATTACGCGTGCCACACTTAAATTTTAAATTGTAACAATGTACACTAGTTTAGTTTACATTGAATGTACGTATAAATAGTAATGATTCCATTGACAGATAAGAAGTGGGCGAATAAATAGTCTTGAGTCGTATAACCCGTTTATTCGTCGATACTGGATAGTTATTAATATTCAAGGTTTTCGAATGATTTCCGTACCGTGTATCCTGCCTTAACAACGAAGATGATTGCCAATCAATACTTCAGCACAGAGCACCATACACGTGCTAACTGACTATTTCACTCATTCAGCAAACCACGAGTCAAGTCAGTAAGCACAATAATGTGTCCTATATTCAAGAAGGGATTGTTGGAGCGTCCTATTCAATTACATTACTTATTATTCGACCCGTTAGTGAAAAGCTGTAGAAATTATCAAGGAAGCCCACAATTTTCTCGATCTCTCTTATTTACCGACTCATGCGAGACCTTTGTCGAAAAGTGTGTACGTAAATCAGCCTAAACTCGGCTCAAGTCACTCATTCACTTTTGTCAATCCCAATTGTGGCAGATTAACGACAAAGCAATAATACAAGAATGTCTTCTCGTGTCAAATGTTCAAACAAGTCTGAATTCAATATGCGGAGTCATATTGCGGATTCATATTGCGGAGTTGGTGGCAAATCCAAGTCTCAATTTTGATCCGATTTTTTTAAGTCTCACTCACAAATTGAGCCGGCAGCAGTGTGAAGGAGGATTATATTATTGGCCACCCTGCCCAAGCAGTTTGGAATTGGCACGGCATAAAACATCTTACGTACGCACGTTGTCCCATATCAAATTTATGTCTTGTGAAGAAGAAATGCCCAAAAGCCCCCAGTCATGTTCTGGCCATTTCTTTCCAGAGAGGAAAACTGGGTGTCCAATATTTTATCCGATGCTGGGCTCCTCACTCTGTTCTACACAGTTTGTTAAAGCCTCGGAGTAGCTGCCTGCAGAGATGAGGGTGCAGATGCTTCCACACTCTAACTCACGGAAGGAGACAGATGAAGAACTTTTAATCTTGTATAAAGCACAGGGATGGAAGATCGAGGTTTCCACCACTGCTTCTTGTGACTTTTTTCGCCAGTAGCAGTACTTGCTCGCTATTTCTGGTCAGAGAGAGAGAAGTCAAACTCGATTCAAGTGTTCAATACATTTATCTCGTGGCTTATCTTTTTCACACCTTCTCTGACTCCTGCTCCATCCCTCTCAAGTGTCTTCTTTTGTGTCGATTTATTCCTAAAAATGACACATTATTTCCTTCCTTCGCAATTCAATACAATACGCGGAACTTGCCCACGAGAGTGAAAGCGAGAGAAAGAAAATGTATAAAGTGGGGAAAGTTCGCAAGAATTAATGCTCTTGTTCTCATTGCTTCCAAAGTTTGATTCGTATTTCATTCCGTAATACGCGGATGTATATTCACATTACAGAATTGCGCGCGTATGACCAGGCAAGCATCAATTTGGGAACGACTTGTACAAAATTTATTGCACCACTACTTTCACATACTATTCATTCTTCCGCCAGCAGCACTGACTACATGGACTGGCTAAATATGTGGTATAGAGTGTCGATGGCTTCTGCATGCACCGAGGAACGGCGTGGGCTATGAATAATAATAATATTTTCTCCGATTTTGCTCTCCTAGTTGGCTGAATATTGGAGCACGGTGCTTCCTTTTGTAGTAAATTGTACAAGGGAACTATTGAATGGATATAATTTTACATTTTCTGGAGAAAAGACAACAAAATACTCGACAAGTATCGAATTTAAATCTTATTGCAGAGTATGTGAAGGAGAATTGGCCGCTTCCATAATATTATCATCATCCTTCGAAGGAAGGGTTTCTTTTTTCTCACTGAATTTCAGAACGCTGTTGTGGATCCCGTCTACACTCTGGAGTCTCATTTTCAAAGGTATTTTTATAGACATTGATGGATAGCTCTCGTTACATTTTAGTAATAACGAGCACTGCTCCTCCTGCTTCTGGCTATGACAGAGAGTAGAAACCCAGTTTCGTTTAGTTTACTCTCCAGAGTTTTGAAGGTTGTGTTTCGCAAAAACGTACAACAGCATTGGCATCCACGCAGGGTTGAGGAGCGGGGGCTAGACGCTAGGCATCCAATAATCTCAGTGTGTGGATTTTTAGATTATGGATGGATATCGTATGAAGAAATTATACGGGTGAAAAAAGTATGTAGACAGAAATGGATTTATCTGACAAATGGATGTTCTAGTTTACTAGTTTTCGGGTACAGTTCAGTTCACCGTACAATCAGCAGCGGCCTCCTTTCACTCTCTACCACTGCTTCGCCCACAACATGTCACACCAGAATCGTGTACATAGGTGAAGGATGACAGAACAAGAAAAATTTCTCCAACTTGTTTTACATGGTTCGCACAACTTGAGCTACACATGTACTCAAAAACTGACTTGTTCGCTGTCCGACACTTTTGTTTGCAGCATCGCGTCTTTGTACATGATCAATCACGAGGGAGTTAGTTCACTTGAGCTGGACGTGGATGAACTTGAAATTCAATGTTAGTTCAAGAAATGATGTCGAATTAAATTATAACACGTCTCCACGTGTTAACACGAAGCTCAAACATAGATTTCCAGTAATAATGACGCCGCCGTGAGCTGCAGCCTTTAGCGAGAGACGGATGGAATGGGAAAAATACGGAAAATACAGGTTATTTGTCCGTATATGTTAAATGGTGGGTTGACAGCCAAGTTTGGAGGAAATAGAGACAGACGACGACTGCGAGTGAGAGAATAATGAACGCAATTCGATCCGCCAGTAACTCGACAAAACTAAAAACATTTTCGCACTTTCAACTTTCACAAATAGAGATTTTCAGAATTTTCCACGTGGAGACACATTTGTCTGTTCCTCCCAGATGAACACGCTGATTGGACTGTTGTTTACAGAATTTAGAATTTGTAGCTCTTGCTCGAGAGATAGAACTCGCGTTGATAACAGTACAGCAACTGAGCGTAAGGAAAGTTGATACAAACTTTAAATCACTTTACTCACACCATTGTGAATTCAGCTTTTTACAGTAGCAGACACACAAACACTAATGAATGGATTCGTACTGCTTTCTTTGCTACACAACCCTCGCAATTTTACACATTTTGCTTCTTAAAAGTCGGTTCTAATAAATTTGACGTAATTATTTTTGTTATTTTTTAAATCTTCCTACTTGTTTTGCGTTGGATAAACTTTTTTTGCTAATTGACCTCCTCGCGTAGATAATGGGTCTTTTTGATTTGAAATTGAGAGTAAAGAAGCCGTAAAACAACAGGGTCTCAGAGTCTCAAACTCAGACTAACCGTCAGCACTGCTTCCAGAGAGCGAATAACCATTTCTCCAGAGCTCACCGGGTTTTCTTGGTTCTCCAGTGGTGGTGGTTTCTGGGAAAATGTGAAACGGGTAGTTTTGGCAAGAGAGACTACCAGCTCGACTACTCTGGTAAACTAACTTTTGCCTGGAATTAGAGTCGACGTCTTCCATGCGCGTGTCAAATTCCCCGTTTAACCACACGACGCATTAATTTTCTCAAGTAGATTTTATACAGTCATGTTACCACTAATCTGAAATATGTATATATAATATATAAAGGTACAGAGTGAAATATTTTTAGACGGTTTACAGCAGATGAAATTATACGTACAAAAGTCTACATATATGTATGTTTGTATTATGAATCAATGTCAAACGTCAGAATTGAGTGACAAGTGACCGTTATTCTCCTTGCCGTCCTAATCTAATCAGGTCAGTGGAAAGTCGGAGTGATCATCATGCAGTGGAAACAAATGAAAGACAACCCGATTAAAACGCGATCTCGTCACGCTTAGCGATTCATGGAAATGTGAAATATGTTTTTGTCACACAACACATCACATGTCCCATGGAATCAACAGTTTACTTTATCACACCATCACATCACCACCACCAACAAAAACGGATCCTGCTGGGTGAAAGCAGCAGCCAACCACTGACACCAGTGCTGTCGACTTTACCACTATTTCTCAAAATGAATCAACAACTAAGCAGCCAGTCGCCACCACCCTCACAACATGGTTAACAATTCAACGAGGCAAAAGCGACTCGAATATGCCCAACAAGTAAAAATGTCGAGTTTCATGAAATATTTTTGTGTTTCAGACATGCAAGAGCCAACTTGGAGCAGGGACATTTTTTCATGGTCTCCAACACAAGCAAGAGTAAAACAGAGAAAAAAGAGCCTGCCTCTTGTATTTATTTATACCTGCTGTGTAAGCTGCAGTGGAGCATGTGTAGTACATATCTGCCAGCGACAGTCAATTCCCTCGGTGGTTAGATCCGATGCAACATTGAAAGTAATAAAAACCAACAAAAACTACATGCACCGAAAATTCAGGGTATAACAACTAATTTGTATTTTTTGCACACTGATCTGCATGCATGGCCAACTCTGAGCAGTCACACAGAAACCTGGAGCTCAGCAAAAATTATTGATTAGCGAATATGTTGTAAGTAGCTTTCTCCGCTTTCACTGCGCTAAACGACCAAACACGTTCCCCGTGCTGCTACATTTTACAGGATATATACGAAAATATATATATATGGACCTTCTACTTGCAAAACTGATCCAGTCGGTTGGGGGGAAGTTAATTGCTAGGTGTTGGAAAGGCTAATAATTTTCTCCTGTGCATAGAGCTGAATGACATTTGACGAATTTGACGGGCACAGAGGAGCTGTATCATTGGTCGGGCTGTGTGTATGGGTGGCTAATAGTGCGGGGAGTGGTAGTAGTAACTTTGTGGACGACATGTCTCCCAGCTTTTGCACGATATGACAAGATAATAATGCCGACTGGTCATGAAATCGAAATAAAATTCTGATCAAACCACCCTGTGGGTTAACCGGCTTAAATTCAGTCAGCGTATACTACTCATCCATGCTCGGCGTATACTTATGTAACTATAAACTTGTGACTGACATTAATATCGCCCATTATACATTATCGTTTTCATTTATAATTTATAATGAGTTGAGACAGACAACTCAATATGAAAATGACAGTGGGAAAGAGGCGCAGAGAAATTCACAATGTGTGGGTTACGACATGTTGGCTAAACTATTCATGGCATGATTATTATGCGTGTACGTGTGTACATACGTGTGTTAAAAATGCACCATTAGCATTAAACCATCCATTTAACACACAAGTTGATAAAAGCAACGTTTTAGATCTATTTCCGTCACCAAATGTAGCAGTTAATTTATCCTGGGGTTCCACCACGGTGTTTATATTTTTGCGCTAAAAGACGGCATACATCTCCAGCCCATTAGAGAGGCACGTTTATTTAATCCGTTTACGCTGACTGCATGAAAGGAGGTTGGAGGAGGAGGAAGGAGAAGAAGAAGGCAAAAGTTATGGAGTGTTTTTAAACAATCATTTATTACGCCAGATGGGACAGAAAGAGGAGACTAACCGACACACAACAAAAAGAAAGGAATCGGAGCACTCTCAGCCGCATTTCCTTTTCTCCAGTCAAATTAATGGAAACAAAAAGCTGAGTTGTACTCCCCGCACAGTTGACAGTTTAGTGCACTTGACACACTAACTATCCCGAAAATTCTACTTCTGCTGCTGCTGATGCATTTTAAACTATGCATTTATGTGTTTCAAGCTCCCCTTCGACTTTAGAATCACATGTCTAATCCTCACTACTTTGTAGTTTTAAATACTTTGCCAACCAGCAAAGACTCGTCCACCGTCATCACATCGCAGAAGTTCTCTTAACGGGAGGGAGGACTCCTCGACTCACTCAAGTGACGTTTAGCTGTCAAATCCAGTTGATAATAGATTTCGATTGTTCTTTGCAAGCTTCGGTGCTATTGATATAACTGTTTTGAATTTCAGTTTTTAGCTTGTTTTGAGATTCAGAAAGATCTAGTTTGCACTGAACCCAAAAGTGAGTTGCCAGACTCAGAGAGTAAAACAAACAAATTTTGAAATGAAATGCAGTCACAACCAACCCTCCTCCGAGACTGACACGCCCACGGTTCCAGCCACACAGGAAAACATTTGATTGTGGATTTCTTGAAAAATTTTGTGTTCCTGCCAAATACATGCTAACAAATAAATCGTCGGAGAATACAAATACATACCACCTTCCAACCTTTTGTAAACTAGTGAACATATTTCCGTATAATCCTGGGAAATAAATGATACGAAAAATGGTGCATACAATCATCATGCAGTGTTACTATATGTATCCCATGACCTTGGGACTTTTAGTGATGGAACTAAATTTAAGAAATGACAAGATAAATTAGTATAACCATGTGCATTGAAATTCTTTAGATCCCCCAGTCCAAATGTTGCTTGTAAATAAGGAGTTTTCTTTGCACTTCGTCACTAATCCTAAATACATACTGTTTGAAGTCATCACAGTTCTGAGATCTCTGGGTAAATATATTATCTGCAATCCACGTCCATATCCATTTTCTCATCACATATTCAAGTGCTTTGTTATGAGTATTAACTGCATGCATTAATAAGTCGTCTCATAAGTGCATTTCCTCCCTTCGCAAATTTCCATATTTAGGAAATACTTTACACTTTGTTAGCGTCACGGCCATAACCAGTCACAGTCATTCCCAATGGACCATTCAAACCATGAAGTACAGAGTCAATATTGGAATGGGTACAAAATCCAATTCAATTTGATGCCAACTAACTTTGTTGTGTGCATCAGATCTCCAAGTGTTGAGAAAGCTCTACCACAGCTTTTAATGGCGTGTGCACGATGTAGATTATTAAAGTGGTAGCTGATGTCATGCAATTTAAGAGAACACAACATTTTGTCAGTACCATTTATGAGATTGGTTCCTCATTTTCTGGGTAACGATCAAACCCTGATGACAGACGCACGTGTCGTCTAAGAGTAGAATCCTATCTTTCTGTGTGTATGCCTTTGTATTAATTTTTGTGCATGGAATAGTTGCGGAGGGTACGGATAAATAAATATGTATGAACCGACCGCGTGTAAATTAACCCCTAACCAGCATTTTTTTACAAGGTTGAAAAGTGTGAAATCATGTTATGTTCATTTCATACGGCCACCGAGTGGATGCAAACCATGTTGAGAAAGAAAATGAAAATACAAGAGAACAGGATCCTGCTCCCCTTCCACCAATTCTGTGGGTTTCTTTCCACTTTCATGGAAAACGATTTGCTAAAAAGCTAATTCCAAACGCAGGACAATACAATGAATGGAAGTGAATGGTGAAGTTGAATGTGGGTTGATTCACAAGAGAAAAGTGGGGGAACCATAACAAACTCTTTGGAAAATAAGAATTCAGAGACAGTTTTATTCTTTCCCCACAGAATTCTCTCCAGCAAAATCGTAAATGGGAACCAACGGTTCTCATGGACGTGCACCCGCTTATTTCTTCTCTTGGTGTGTGTGTTTGCTAACCCAACTGTCAACCGTGAATAAATGCCGTAGATTTATTAAATAAAATCCATGTATAAAAAGAACCCCGTGCTATTTTTTAGGCATTACACATAAAACAAAATGTATGCAAAATATAATTACAATATTATAATTTTATAATTTCAAACCAAAATTCTACATGGCATGCACGTAGATATTTATAACACACCACCATCTTCATATTCATGTTATTATGGACACATATTTTCATTGTGTATGCTTGAGCTCGAGCATTTCTTTTGATGTCAAGCTACCATCACTTTCTGACGTATACACGTAATAACCAACCCGGATTGTTTCACCGGTCAAAGAAAATGCAACCGGCATGACGAACAAAAGAAACCAGAAGAAGGCAGGTAATTTTAGCCATTACCTATATTTAGTCATTTCGTTGCATCTACGTAACAAAGGACTCAACATGCCTAATGCCTATTACGTGACTACTTTTGCATGCATATTCCGGTGCATTTCACTCATGAATGTTCTTGATTATTGATCAGTCGCCTGCAAAAAAATGTATAATAAATGTCTAACAAAGAGTGTGTGTGCATCTGTGTGATACTTGCTTGCTATTAGTAATGCAATTTTAGCTATACACAATGGAGGTAATTTGCTTTCTCCAGGCTTTGCTGATTGTGGGTCTTGTGTGTCTAGGAAAATATGTACGGGGAATTGGAATGATGGCATCAGCATGGGGCAACTTTTCAATTTCATTCTCGGCAGGTAGGTACAAATCCACCAACAAACAGATCAAACGGATGGAGCGGACTGTAATCGTTTGTTGGCAATAACATTAATGAGCCACTCGAGGTTCTTCACATACTTTTTGCTGGCAGACGAAGATCGAGAGCGCGTCGCCCGGTTGCCTCAGCTGGAGAAAGTACTCCACTTTGTTTCAAAGTGTTAAACCATGGATTGATTTACTGTCAACAAGCACCACCTCTGTAATTACAATCTTTAGAGCCAAATTATTATCTTTGGTCGGTAAAGAAATGACCAGCAGAATTTGTAGTGGGCTATCTGGAGATGCTCGCAATGAGTGTAAAACTTCAGCTGCTCATTTCAAGAGGAAACAATTTATCTTTGTTAAAGCACAACCTTTTAGCTCCTATTATGCCAGATTAAAGCCCTGAAACTATGGACAATAATGAGCTTAATTTATTGCTCCATTTCTGACTTCTCATATATCACTTTACGCTTTGGCAGAGATGCGAGGACTGCGAGATCACGGGCTTCTCTATGTTTTGTTGCTTATTATATAAAGACCAAATCGAGGAAAGGTTGTATAGCTGCACATGCGAGAAAGGAGAACGGGTCAATCTCACATGAAAAATAAACAAGAAGCGCTTATCGTATCATGATGTTAATAGTGGCCCATTTATCAACTGAGGTAATTCACTCCAGTCCGGAGATACTTTCTTTAGTGCAATAATAATTATCTTTTCCATTTTCACAAAAAGATCACCTTCAGATTTCACGTTTATCAGTTTGCACTGAGTTTTATAAGTTTGTTATGCAAGAAATTATGCATTTCTTTGTCTCTCACTTTAGTTTTTCACTGAAAATTAGGCCATGTATTTACCGTTTGATTTTTAGAGAATCGACATTTCTTATGAAGATGGTTGACGTACTAAGAACTCGGTGTGCGTACCATGATGCCTTTTGTTTTTGGCTTGTGTGACTCATTTTCAGTGGTCAGTATCCTGTCCATATGATTACCAAACTCAATAATGATGTAATGATGTCATCTCGTGGTAATTAAGATGTCTGGATCATACCAAGGCGACATGGATAAAGAATGATTAATGATTGTTGAAGAAAGCGGCTCGTGCAAGCATATTATTCATTTATCATACCACCTTTTGTGAGACCTTTTCGGCCAATCCGGGTGAGTTACTTGTTAAACCTTATCTCAATGTACTTATCGTTAAAATGCATGCTGCACTTTTGATAAGTAGATATTTGTGAATTCGATATGGCATTTTTTAAATGATAGTTTAATCAATGAAAGTGAGAACCACTGGTTCGTGGTCAACAATATAATTATTATCATTATAATGATGAGTCACCTTTCACCTACCCTAAAATGACATTATCGATTTATGTATAAAACTCTGGCTTAACTATGCGACCGATTTGTAGATTTTAACCGTTTGGGAATGAAGATATTAAACTACAGAAAAAAACTCTTTGATGCTTGAGCGCATTTATTTCTTAAAGTGGTTCTATTTTCTATGAACAAAACATCCAGATTCCTTTCGGTAGCACATACAATAAGCTAAAAGTTCTTACTATTTCATAAGGACAAGTTCAAAGCCGTTACAAACCTAGTACTCTCTACGTTACAAAGGTTTGAATTTTTAATTACTTTTGAATGCCAACTTTTCAGCAGCAAACTGAAGAACACATGGTCACGGGTAAAATTACAAAATAAAGGTAAAGGTCTCCTTGTTGAAGCTCCGTGAAGTACATTTTAAAACGTGGAAAGGGCAAAAGTAGACGACGGTGCAGTAAACACACAAAGTGAGATGTGCAATATTGTATTTAATTCAGGTGGTAATCTTTGCTGGAAGTGTGAAGCACACGACTGGAGTCTTCCTATCGTTCAGGCCATACTGAACATTGACGCTTACCTGCAAGAGAGAAAGTGCCATGAGTTTCATGTTTAAAAATAATTCCCCAACTGAGGTGCCCCACACAATAAATTCTACGCTCCTGATTTCATGAGAATAAGAAGCAAGAAAATAATATCCATTAGAAGCACATCTTGCAAAATCCTCTAAATTTTTAATGAGAACAAGCCAGCCATGATTTAAAACCAAGTTTATTTTAGCCCCACTTCTACTCTCCACATACATACCTTCCTCTGCTGCACACACTACTGCTCAAGCTCAGCCAAGAAAAGAAAGCCACAACAACGCCAAGCACTAGCACCAGCAGAATAACCCTGTTACTGGACTATCTGGATTTGGTTCCCTCAACAACACGGCAGCAGCAGCAGCAGCCAAGTCAGTGCATTTCTTGCAAGGATGTACTTTTGTTGATTGGAACAAGGAGAAACGAAAAGGCAAGCAAATACATATTATGCCTCCTCCTCCTCGTCGTCGTCGTCGTCGTTGCAGAAGTAGGAAGCAACACCCAAGTAAATGTCGGTGTACTACATAATGCCACCACCACCACCACCACCACCAGCAGCATCACCAGCAGTCGTCGTATCAGCATCGCCCACCGCCACCAGAGAGGTAAGTGGCAAGATAAAGAAGACAGGAGAAAGCGTAAGTATTTTATTTATGTGATGTAATAAAAAGTGTAATAAGGAGAGAGTGAAGGAGAGAACGAAACTCTCGTGGTGTTGGTCTTACGGCAGGATAAGATTTCAGAATTGGGAAGGAGTTGGAGTAGGTGTACACTTCCAGGGGGAGGAGCGGGCAGCCCTTCTTCCCGTCACTTTTTCGCTGAATATCCTTGCAAGCGTCCATCCCATGGACATCCCTGAAGGGCACCCTGATAATGCCAATCCCTCCAAACACAGAAGTGGTCAGCTTGTCGTAAACCTTGTCTAAAAATTATTTTCAAACAAATACATTTTTTATTTAGAAATGCCATTCATGAAATTGAGATAGTCTAATCAGCTTTTCTTTAATTAAAGTTTTATAAAGAAAAGCCTAATGAAATTTCCAAAGGTCAAGCTGTTATGAAGGAAATTGTTGTATGCCAGCATGAAAATAAACACCAAAAATTTGATGCGTATCTTGTCACTCACTTCAAATTTCATCCTCCATCCTCATTTTCCATCGTTTAAACTATATAAACTGAATCTGTTCCTATTAAATAAATAAATTCTAGACTTTCTCAGCTATCTGGTGGTGACTTTGTCTATTTTCTCTTTCTAAATTCATATCCTTAATCTCGTTAGTGGAGAAAAAATGCATGCACCGCACAGCGAAAAGAATTTTGTCACGCAATAAGAGATTGAAAAGATTCCTGGTAGTATTCATTAGTTTTACTGCCGTTCAAAGACGACTGACACACACAACGAGCTTTAGAAAGTGAATGAGGAGAGACGTCTACTTGGAATTTTCGAATGTAAGCAAAATTGCTTCATGATTCCATTTCCACTCATATCATGCATATCATGCTCGAATAATGGGAAACGGAGGTTGTTAGCTGGCTTTCTTCTATTTCTGTCTGAAACCCAACCCTGAGGATTGCACCAACCAGCAGCAGCAGTTCCGAAAAGAAAATGGAATTCTGAATCTTTTAACCATACACGTTGTCGTGGTTCACATTATGAGAGAAAATCACCTGAAATGAATGCCTGCTCTACTTTTGAAATCATACGTGTACAAAAAGATTCCATGCATCTTTTTCATACTCTCACCCTCTTACGTACATTCATGTATACGCATACATATGCAAATTGCCTTACTCTCCCAACTGCTCAATGTACATAAGTGAATTAATTTTAAAATGCTGTAGAATAATAAACTATTTCAATTTTACGTGTGCTTATGTATACAAGAATTCGTTATGGTGATGCATGGTAGTTTTTTTTCAGGAGAAGCAAATTTTTTTTCTGACAGGTTGCACATGTATGTATGTGGGTCTACCGTTTCCATTCTCTGGAAGAATGTGGGTCGATCTTCGTATGGAAGACAAGCTGTGTCACTATTACGTAAATCGGCGATAACGTCATGCATCAACTTTTGAAGAAAGTGAGGAATTTACCTGGTATAAAATCAAACTCAATGGTGGTCGAGGTTCCTTTTATCAGCTTACAAGGAGAATCTGGACATTCACTAATTCTTACATCTTCAATTTCAGCAAGCCCATAAGTTCCATTCCGATTTGTAGGGTCTGTAAATTAATCACAACAAATTCTTTATTACAGGTATTATGTTGGTTAAAAAACATTGCCGAATAGATGTATTTGCATAATCAAAAAAATTCACAGGGTCATCTTGTGTACATTACGAAACGATCAGATTCTATGTGCCACTATTTTCATTCATTAAACATAACCATTCATCTCATCCATCGCTCAGTTCTTCATTGAGATTTTATAATGTTTCTGTCTACACGTGCATAGTAGAACATTTTTCACACACATTAACTGCATTGAATAAACACTAATTATTAAATTAAATGAGACAAAGAGTACACGTGCATCAGAGTGATTCAATAAAAAAGCACCCATTTTATAATCATAGCGTATTATGCAATCCAAACCTTCACCTAAATTTAATACAAGTGCACTTTTCCAACATATTCTATTCATCACATTTGTGGCTTCACAAACCGCTGAAGCAATTGCGAACAAACAAAACCGGATTTTAGGAGAAACTCATTCATTCATTATTCCAATCTCATGAAATGATACGGTCCACCAACAAGGAATGAATTGGAGGATTTCTATTCCAATGGTCTTCTTAACCTCATCATGAGAAACAAATCATCCTCCCCACCCCTCCACCCGTCCACCTATTATTTACTTTATTTGGATTTGGCCAGGATTCCCTTCGGTGCAATGCATGTTTTTGCCCTGCTGCTAGTAAGTATTGGCTCAGAAGATTTATTGGATTTCACGGAGGGTTAATTGCTGTGTGGTAGAAGCTCAATAATAACTTTCCCAGTTTGTGGCTGGTTTCTGTTACCGGTGCGGTCCAGAACCGTCCATAATTTGTTTTGTCGTTCTCGACGGTGTGACTTGACGTGAAATGATGATTCTAAATATTCCGTCCCATGTTTAATGCATACAGATTCGTAACTAACGCTGTAACTACATATGCATATATGCACATACATATTATTACACATGTGCATTTAGGTATACTTAAGGGGGTCATAAGTTTTTTACTTCGCAATAAATAATTTTACTTATATACCTTTGCACTTATCAACCTGAGCTGCGAAAACTGAGTTGCACGCAAGCAGAGCAAGGACACAATATTTAATCATGATTTTTTATTTTATAAACTAATTTCACTAATTAGTTTTATTTTATAAACTTTATTGATTATTATTGATATTTATTGATGACTAAATAATATCTCCAGAAAATTGCAGCTCAATACCACAACAACTTGATATTTCTTTACTGAACAGTTTATTTAAAACTATTCTCCTTATATAATCTCCTCCTTTGCACTGACATAAAATATGTACACATGCACATTCAAACATATATAGTTGAGTTTTGCATATATACACATGTACCTTCCTGTCAAGAAATTTTGCCATGGGTACATACATAAGATGTGATTGTTGCACATGACAGATTTCCTTGTGTGATACATATATTCATGTTTTCATATCATCCACTTTGCAACCTTCATGTTTTGCTATTGAATTGCTTATTCAAAATGAGCATCATTCATCAGCCACGTATTATGCCAATATTTTATGAGTGACTCAATGAACAGTGATGAAAACTCTTAGTATGTGATGGCGTCTATTACATATTTTAGCCATTCTTTTCTAAAACTGCTAATTTTTTTTACATTGGTGGAATTAATCATTGTTTTTTTGTGGGACCCAAAAAAGAGAGGTGAACAGCTCATTGATGGTCCATTTTGAAAATGTTTCGAATAAGTCGGATTTGGAATGATAATTGGCTGGAATGAGAATATAAACTAATGGAATCAAGGGTTTATCAGATGTTAAAGAATATACGTCTTGTAATACAACAGCTCCACAGCACCCATTACGATTTATTTAGCATAAACAGTTTAGCAAAATCACGTCCGAGATTATCTAGGAAGGAGAGCAATTAGGAGTGCAGATAACGCGTCGCAGTTGTGTGCTTCCAAGCAAACTGCTCCATCATATCTGCATGGTGTATGTATGCTAAACTCGCTAGTTTTACTTATTTCATCAACAATCTCATGCACATTTAAACTTGTTGTGAACAAAGTTAAGTCAAGAAGATGGAGAGAGAGAGAGAAATTTGGAACTGGGGAACAAGACCAAGAACAAGGAGAGAAATTTTACAGAACAGGGTGGGTGGTCGGATGGTTGGTGGGAAGGAGGCTGCAAATGGCAAATATGAACTGGCTTGTTTTGTTATCTAAACAGTCAAATCTGCATGAGGTCCAGAATCTGACTCCAGATTACACCAAAACTCTCATAATAATGTGATGCACAAAGGACGATATACGAGATGGCAAGTAAAACGGAGAGACAGGCAGGTTACAAGAAACAATAATAACTACACTACCAAAACTATTTACTTCTCTGCTACTTGCTCCCCCCAACTTTCGTTTCTTCTGCAAATAATGGATTGTAATTGTAAATTGTAATTCGTGATCCTGAACCTTAACGTGTTATCTCTTACCCCGTACTCTGAAGTGCCTTCTTCTATGAAACCAAACCTAACGTCTACCTAAACTTTCCACCACAATATAACAATTGTATAGGAAGTTGTAATCGGCGTAATAAATGATGACCATATTTCTTTTTAGTCCAACACAGAGGATCTTGAACTACAAGGTTCCCTTGACTACTTTGGTTGTGGTTTTAGCCCTGCATTATTCTGATTGTGTTAAGCGCAGATGCCTTTCCAAGTGCCTTTATCAAGTACGAGTATGTATGTAGATAGGTACAAGGTCTCAAAGTTTTCATTACAGGTACCAGTGTACTTATTTTTAGACTTCTGTGGGATCGTTAATTTAGCAAACAAATTAGGTCCTCTTTTCCCAATATCTTACGCAAAGTATCAATTTCTTTATTTCTTCGTATATTCACCTTGCAAAATTTCAACTTTTCCGACCAATTTATAAAACCATTGTGGCTATTGTGAGTCACAATGTTGGGTCCTCTGGCTGTAAAAGGTTTAAATTTATTTTAAACTCGTAGATCTGATATACATATTTAGATACATGCATTCCTTGCATCTTCATGCAAAATTCAGATTTCTACGACAGTTTACAAAATTTAGTGTTTTTCCCGCAGATCACTTAACTTATCTCCATCGAATTCAACATACGTATTTTTAGACCAAGTTGGTCAAAATCGGTTAAGCTTTTGGACCCCTATCGTCTCACAGACCGACGGACATGACGATCTCAAAAGCCCCTGCGCGGCCTAAAAACTAAAGGGCTGATATGAAAACCAAACTTCTTTCAGCTAGTAAATATAATTTTATTCTATGGCAAACTATTCTATTAATATATAATATATTTGAGCAGTATTGCACAAAGGTTTCAGCAGTTCGGTCTATTTTGTCTTGACTTAATGTGCAAACTTGATCAATTAATTCCTTTTGGTAAGCAAAATGACATTGGAAGTTGGACATTGCACGGAATTCGTGACTCATTGTTAGTTTTATGTCTGGGAAATTCTATGACCATAAAAACAAGACTGATCTCAGCACTTTGATTTGTCCGATGGGCTGAAAATCTGCAATAGGGATTCTTATTCGTTCGCCCAAACACAATTCCTAAAATGTCGAAGGGAGGCAACAAGGCACAAGGCGTTCAAAATTTCTCACCAATGAATGCTAATTGTTAAATGCTTCAGGCACATTAATTTCGCAAAATCAACCCATTCCAAATTAACAATATCATTTTAACTACTGAAAAAGAGATTTATACCCTATTTAAAAACATTAACTTGAATAACTTTCCCCTACTGATTCATCAAATCAGTTTGTAAAACGTGCAATATATGTACATACTTATGAAGCCTATTGAAGTAGGTATATGTATAAGTTCATGCATGTATACTTTTAATGATAATAAAATTAATTGCATGGACATAATATGAGCATTTACGCTCAAGCAGACCGAATAACATAACATAATAATTGTGCGACATGTATTAATCAATGATAAGTAAGTACTCATCGAAGTCCATGTAGGATATAGACCAAATTACATTATCACATTATCATACATTATCCCTGCTAAATAAATAATTTAATTTATGGGATATCCTCCAATCTTTCCATACTAAGGTTTTTTATGATCTTTGGTTGAAACTTATTGAAATGCATAAATAGATCCAGTATCTTTGGGCATAATCAATCAAAGACTTAATCATTTACCATTTTTTTGGGGAAATTAATTTACTCGAAAAATTGCTAGATAAGATGCTGCAGCTGTTGACTAGTCCAAGTTTGACACACCTGCACCTGTTGCAAAAACACAGGTAATCTTGAATCTCAATGATAACGTCACGCCACCCGTTTAATCTGTACATTCATACGACATGTGCATCACATTACCCATACATTTACATACATTATCAATTTCTAATCATATATTTGTTCAACGACAGGTCGGCAATTCAATTCTCTTCAACAATCAGTTATATTCTTGACACACGTAATTATAGTCGTCAGTCACACTTTTGTCAATCCTCTCGCATATTTAGAATGCATAGTAAGTACATAATTCTTGTGCTGGTAGCTTTAATGCCATTAGCGATTTCACTAGCAGTTCCACTCAGAAATTTCCGTGGGCCAGTACAGGCCTCAAGGTGTGAAACTGGTAAATAAAAAAAAAAGTTCAGAAAAATTGAAGCACTGATAGTTTAATGAACTGATATTGATGATGCATTATCCTGTCACAAATTAAGGGGATGAATCAGGCGCCCCAATTCCAGTGAATATCATCGTCCCTGCATGTGACGCTCCTCCTTGCATGCTCAGAAAGGGAGAAACTTACCGTGTAGAAATTGATTTTGACGTCCGTAAGTGGAGAACATTGAAATGCTTTAAGCAATATATATTTATATGCATATGTAGCTTTTAAGCATGATAGTTCAACATAGTTTTCCATACCAATTTCAGCAAGAAATACAAATAACTTGACGGTGGAGGTGACCGGAATCATTGAAGGGTTAGAACTTCCTTGGAATGGGGTAATTAACAAACACTGGATTAACATGATTTGTAGCTCCTATTGCATTTATAACTTGTTTCTTACAGGTTAAGGAGAATGGATGTGATGACATTTTAGTGGGAAGGTGCCCTATGACCGAAGGAGGTGAGTGGGGTGGACATTTCATCCCTTGATGATTACTTTTTTTTGTAAATATGACAGCAAATGCACATATTACGCTTGTATGTAGATTATTGGACTTATGGCGTTGATATTTTAGTTCAAGCAATTTATCCTGCAGTATGTAAACATTTTAAATACGCAAGAATATGTACGCAATATGCTAGTTCCAGATATGAAAAGAATTTGTTTCTTTCAGACCCCTCTAATCATAAAGTGGCAAATGAGAGACGACTCTGAACAAGCTATTTGGTGCTTTCATCTGCCTGCTGAAATTGTAAATTAATCTTAATCTGGATGTTTCTGTTTTTGTTAAAAATAAATCGTATCAATAATTGCGTAGGTTCAACTCTTCCTTTGTTCATTTGATTTAGATAGTGTCAAACATTTGCAAAGTACTAATTCATACATAATAAATACATACGTGTGTATATATCGAAAAAAATGATATGTATGTAAATATGTATTACACTGTGTTTTCATATCTAAGAAAGAGACGTGATGAAGGATTAGAGGCTTGGGTCCATAATTTGCATTTCAAATATGAGAATCGATGAATTTTTGACTGGATGAATACAAATTTTTAGAATTCATTCTCTCGACTAAATATCTGTCAGTCATTCAACTAGTCACCAGCTTATTTTAATAGAAATAGTGATGTTTATCATTGTAGGTGGGTATAGACATGAAATAATATGAGGAAAAGATTTAAAACAGTCAAAGTTTTGAGAAGGATAAGCAAGCAATAAACTCGCTCAGTCGTCGTTGTGTCTGATAAAGCTGAATACTTAAATCAGTAACTTATTTATGCAGAGGTACAAAAGTAAAAATATCCTAAGGACTAAATTTCACGAATCGTTGTTCATCTCAAATTGTGTCCAGCAGTACAGCTCACTCCTACTGTCTTCAGCTGAACTGTGCAATAAACAAGCACTCCTCCTCAGACCTCAACCTCCGAGAAATAAATCCCTTTGATTCAGTCAACGTTTTTGGACTCCCTTATCACCTTATCCCAAGTACAAGCCTTCTTATCTGAGTTGCCGTTATGTATTTCTTATGGCCTTTTTCGGTTGCTTTTCTTCTGTTGCTGTTGTTTATCAACCCTGCGATGTCAACAAATGGAAGTATGTAGTAGTAATTAATTGATTTAAATAATTTACTCTGCACGATTTATTTTTGGGTATAGCATTCATCGTCGAAATTTATTTATAGATGTGACCAGCAATGCTAAAAGCACTTTTACCATTGGTTCTGACACCCTTGGAAAGGAAACGTTACCAACGCCCAACATAACATGTGTTGTTTGCAAGAACCCGGCTTGTCCATCCTATTATACGAACAAATTTACGGTCATGCTGGGATGTGAGGTTTGTTTCAAGCGAATTGTTTTGCAAATTCGAACAGGACGTGGAGGCGCACGTAAGTACTTTTTACCTACTTCCAAATTAATATATACACAAATTATATATGTTTAAGATTAAGTTAGACAATCCATTGCTTATTGTTTCCATTTAGCCAACAACAAATCCGTGCATAAAGGATGTCTGACATTGAAGCAGGTCATGGATAAGAAGTGGGATCTTGGTAAATGCGTCAAGATGGCATCATTCGATGTGGCAGCTGATTACACCCAGTGCCTTTGCAATGACAAGGATGAGTGCAACTCTGCCCCACGGCGGTGGGGACAATATGCAGCAGAGCCCTTCTGGGGGATTGTCATTGCCATCATCATCTTCGCCGCCACGATGTGGTCAACTATTTCTGAGCAGCTCTTTACTTAATCTGTTACCGTATTATTTTACGAGTTATTTGTATTTTGCAAGACTGAATAATAATAGGGATGTTCTACAGATAAAGACTTTCTTGTTGATATTCGTATCTGTATATAATAGTACTCCATCACTCCATCCCTCCCATCCATTCATCGTTCTGCATACTTCCCTTGCTAGTTTTTTGCTCGATGGGTTATTCATAATTCATTACATCATCAAATGTTGCATATCTGTCATGAAACATGTATCTGTATTCCACGTGTTAACATTAGCCATTGGATGGTCAAAAATCAAAATACAAAAGGTCATCAATTGGTCAATGTTGTCAGACAAACGAGTGGCGGACCGAATTCATGGTGGAATAGAGTAAAAGTGTTGTTGTTGTGGCGGTTCTCTTACTACAAATTCTCGTCTAAAAATCACACAGATTTCATGAAATTGGTTACGCAGCAGCAAGTCAAATGGAACTGAAGGATTGGATAAATACAACAAATTGTGGTTAAACTTAACTCGCCCCAACTTATTATTATTTTACTATTATTACCTAACTTACTACCTCTGGATGACTGGCATTCTGTAATACTCCTCCTCGCCAACTGTTAATGTTACACAAGTAAATAATAGTTCAGAAGGCCGGTCGATTTGCACATATTACATACACATCAACATCTCAATATTAACTAGATTTACTGGATTGTAATTATACATTATTCGTCAACCATTAAATTTAGTGCTCGTCGCAACAACAGCACCATATCTCAGAAATAGCAATAACAAATAAGCGTGACTCATCAAGCAGCAAAGTGGAAACTGCATTGCATTAAAGTCTATTTAGTTTTGTTTGTAATTATTGTCAGCTAAATATTATGTAACATATTGTACTGTTAGCAGTTTAAGGTTACTAAGTCTGACTTGTTGTACAAAATCTCAGGCCAATATGGTGTTCGAAAGCATTGTCGTTGATATTTTGAATCGCCTTTTGGGCGACTATTTTGAGAACTTGGATACGTCACAATTAAAGCTTGGAATATGGGGCGGTGAGTTGATACTTAATCTCTATTAAATATGCAACATTTGTATAATAGGTTTAGCTTTAATATGTTTAACTTAATTTACATATGTATTTCAGGGGACGTAGTACTGAGGGAGTTACTTCTGAAAGCCTCTGCCATGGACGACCTTGGGCTCCCTTTCAAAGTAGTAGTTGGAAAAGTCGGTAAGTTGTATGATTTGGTCAATGGATTACATATTTTTAGATAAGCTAATGTTGTCATTTATTAGGAACACTTCGAATGAAAATTCCATGGCAGAGTTTATATACTGCCCCTGTGGAACTGAACTTGCAGAACTTACTCCTTCTGGTCACGCCGTCTTATTCTGTCAAATATAATGAGGAGGCTGAAGAAAAGGCCTTACAAGCTGCCAAAGAAAAAGAGTTAACCAGGCTGGATGAGATACGAGCTCGTGAAAGGGAAAAACAGCAACAAGGTATTATCACTATAATTTCTGACAGGTTTCATAATTATTGTCGTCCTTTATAGAAAATTTCTATTAGAATTTCAAATAATTCTAATTTAGAAATACAATATAGGTACATCAATGATGCAAGTGCTTTTTATTATTTGAATGTACAGAAGGTCAAACCCCAGCCCAAGAAGACAGCTTTACAGAGAAGCTGATAACACAGATTATTAAAAATGTTCAAATCCGAATTGATTGCATCCATATTAGATATGAAGATGACGTGACGAAACCTGCTAGGTTAGTAAATAGATACACTTAATAATATTTTTAGACTAAATTGCACTTTTTAAGAAAATGTCATTGCCATCTAGCCCTTTTGGATTTGGAATCATATTAAAAAATCTTCACATTGAAACAACTGATACGGATTGGAGGCCTGTTGTAATTACAGAGATTGTGGAAACTGTTAACAAGGTAGTATTAAGGAACTATCAACGCATATCGGGTCAAAGCTAACTGGGTTTTCTGAATAATTTAGATGGCAACTTTAGAAGGTCTTGCTGTTTATTGGAACTCACAAACTCAACTTCTCCAGCGAATGGGTCAAAAAGTGCAGATGATGGAAGCCTTAAGAGACATCGTACTCCAAGATACTCCTGACCTCACATATAGTATATTATTTTGTTTTATCATTACCAAAATTAATCTATTAATTATATTTATTTATTTTAATGATCACGTGGCCATGATTTCTGTATAGTTTTGGGACCAATTTCTTCCACCGCTAAAGTATTGCTTACGCCGAACCCAGAAAGATGTGTGGAAATATTTTCGAAACCAAAATTTTTTGTTGATTTAATTATGGAGGAATTGGGCTTAGGTACTGCAGCTTGAAGAATACAAATTCATCAAAAGAGATTTAATCCTGTGTCTCACTCGCTTAAATTACAGGAATGACTAATTTACAGTTTCAAGATATCATGGAGCTTATCGAATCCATTGATTTTATGACTAGGGCACAGTACTACCGGAAATACAGGCCTGCTGTTAACATTCATAGAGGACATTTTAAAGAATGGTGATATGATAAATCAACTTATTGATTGGACAATTTTATTGTTTTTTAAATATTTGAATGAAATTATATTACCATACGAAACAGGTGGATGTTTGCCTACAAGTGTATTGTTGAAGAAGAGGTCCGTCGAAAGCGACAGAATTGGGATTGGCTCCACATAAAAAGACATAGAAATCTATGTCGGATTTATGCAGATGTATGTTTGATTTTATTTTATATATTTAATTATTCTTTAGTTTACTTATTCATTCATGGTTAATAGTAACGTTAAATATTTTAGGCATATTATAAAAAATTGACAAGTCGCAAGTTAAAGTCTGACACAACTCAAAGTTTGCAAGCTTGTGAAAAGGTCCTGGACGTGTTTAACATTACGCTCGTGAGGAAGCAAGTCGAGGTCAAAGTTGAACGCGAAGGAAAGAAACGGGCTGAGGAAGAAAGCAAGAGGCAAAGCACCGGGTGGTTTGGAGGTTGGACGACGTGGTTGGGGGGAGACTCTGCTCCGAAGGCAAATGAAAATACAATGGGTGACATTGTCCAAAAATTTGAAGAAGCCCTCACTCCAGAAGAAAAATCCAAACTTTATGCAGCTATTGATTATTCTGAAAATGCGTTACCTTTGGACTATCCTGATACATATCTTGAATATCAGCTCAAATTTCTTCTCAGCAAACTGACATTGACTGTGCGAGATGTTTTGGGTCGGGAAACACGAGGCCATAAAATTTTAAAGCTAACTGTGGACAGCGTTGCAACAAAGTGAGCAATCATTATACAAATCGTGTAATATTATCACGCACGTTTGTGGCTTGTGTGCTTATAGTTAGACTATTTATGACATTGTTGAACTATTATGATATTTATTTAGGATAGCCACTCGTCCAGTCAAAAATGGAATGCAAGTTGAAGTTCTTATGGCGAGTTTTGAAGCGGAAGGCCTGAAGGGAAAACATGACACTGTGCCTGTTAAGATGATTACTTCCAAAACCAAGTCTACTACGAACCTTGTTGAAGTTTACTTTGAAAATAATCCATTAAATTCTCAAGCAAATCAAAAGATTCGAATTCAAGCACAACCTATAGAGATTCTCTATCATGGGAAGACGATAGTTCATCTTGTACGGTGCTTTGCTCTACCACCGGAAATGCAGCTTAGCAAGTAAGAATAGAATAGAATAGATAATATATATGCAACAATCGACCATTAAGCTTAAATGTATAAATATGCGACTAATGTGTGTATGTATGTAGTCATATAAAATATTACAATGTTACATATTATGTTCAACTTTTTAGACTACAAGCCGCAGCAGTATCAACTTTAAACGAATGGAAGGAACAATCTGCCGCTGGGCTGCAGCATTTAGCAGAAACACGTGGTGAAATTGATTTGCAACTGGATCTCATTGCACCATATATTTTAATTCCACGCGGTGGAGTTCTCAATCCGTAAGAACACTAATGATAACTCCATAAAGCCCCATAAATACCATGACCAGATTAAACGTTGTAACAGCAATTTTAATATATATTATGCTTGATAATTTAGGAATTCAAGTTGCCTCTTGATAGATTTGGGAGAATTAAAAATACAAAGCAAACCTAGAATTAAAAAATCAGTCTCTGCGGACAAGGTGATGTCCAAATCACATCAACACGATGCGGATTATATGGAGGCCATGAAAAAGGTGGCGTATGACACGCTACTAATTGAGCTTCGTGACTTTCAAGTATGTTTAAAACAGTTTATTAGCGTCGGTCTAGAGTTTAATTCGATGTTCAACTTGGAATTATAATTTTGATAGGTGGTACTAGCACTACCAGGTGAAAATATAGACGTATCGAAAGGCAAACTTGGTGTTGGGCCAGCAGTGGCAATGCCACAAACCCTAATAAAATCTAGTCAACGTAAGTTGTTGGAACTTTTTTCGAATGCTTTTATTAGGTTGTTGTTTTGAGCGAATCAACTTCCGGTTTCTCCTCTTAGTTATATTAGTTAATTCAATATACGGTCATAATTTCATGCGATTGATGTAATACAATGTGGTGTATGTCTCAGTGATTCTACAACTAGACCAATCGCTAGTACCTGACGATCCGCGATTCGCTAAACTTCAACTTGAAGGGAGTTTACCCATGTTGAATCTGAATTTGTCTGATCGTCGCTTAACAGAACTTGTGAAACTCCTAGTCACTCTTCCATTTCCTAAAGCTGATGTACCTGATTCAACTACATCCCCACCAGTCCTCAGCACGGTACAAGTTCTGATTTTTTTTAACATCTTTAGAAAACACTCACAAATGTGTAATGTAATATTTCATGCTTGCATTTAGATTTCTGAAGACCCAACTGTGTCACAGTCATATGCAATTTCTAAAATAACATACGACACGACAAAGCGCAAAGATGCAGACCATCCACAACTGGTGGAATTTATTGAACTGCTATTGAAATTCACCCTAGATTGTAAGTTGCTTTTCTAATATTTTTCCTTCATATGGATTCATTGTAACTTATGTTATTATTACAGCAATCAGAATTCAAATATCGAGGACAAACAACAGTAGCCAAAATGTGCCTTTTGTTGATTTCGAATTAAAACAAATTCAAGCCAAGCTCACAAATAAAACATTCAGCAGTGCTGTGGACGTGGCTGTTGGAGGATTGACATTATGTGCCTTGCAGAATAAGACTATTGATATTGACGGACTACTGTACCTTCTTAAAACTCCGATGAGTGAAGGAATAGAAAAACATTTGTTCAAAATGCACATGTTTTCCGTAAGAAAATTATTTTCAATGAAAATACGTCAGTAATATGCAGATTAAATCTTATGAAAATGACTTTGCACATGTTGCAGATCATGCCTGACTGTCCGATTGCCTTTGTGGGGAAAGTGAAGCAACTAATAAAAGTAGAAGTTTCTTCGCTGGACGTAATTTTGCATAGTGAAGCGTTGCAAGCTTTAATATCATTTGGTGCAGAAATTCAGAAAGCCGTAGAGGAAGCAGCAGCAGAATCAAAAGGAGGAAGTGGACAAAACAATTTGGATAATTTATCAGTGTCCTCAGTTTCTTCAGTTGATTCTGGGATGATTACAAAGATCAGAAGTCGCAGAGTTAGCAAACAATGTAAGAACTTGATTTAGAAATATGCATGTTGGTACATATTTGTATTTATAAGACAAATTTATTTTTATGATATATACTCTTTAGTTCAAAAACTGGAAAACACTAGAAAAGCAGTTGCCAAAAAACATATAAATTCCGGTGATGTGCTTCTTCAAATTGATGCCAAAATGGAATCACTAACTGTTCAGATATCGACAGAAAAGAAGAATTTAATTAAAGCTATCTTGAGTGAACTTGACTTGTCAATGGTTCAAAAATCTGAGCACACAATTATGCTAATGGAACTTAAGGATCTCAGAGTCAGAAACCTAGATCGTACATCGATTTATCGTGACATGATGCGAGTAGATTCTGATAAAGTTGTAGCAATCAAAGTCGTTATGCATGAAGATGCAACAAAAGGCAAGCAGTTTTATAACATGGACAAACATGACATGTCTGTCAAAGTGGAAACTGGAAGTCCAAAAATATTCTACGTTAGTCATCAACTGGATGAACTTTTGGCATTTATTGACAATTTCTCGGCAGCTAAGGATGCTGTGATTGATGCTTCCTCTGCAGCAGCGTCAGCAGCTAAAGAAAATGTGGAACAGGCATATTCTGCCGCCACACGAATTTTATTGGATATTGAATTAAATGCTCCAATCGTATTTATCCCTCGGAATGAGCGCAGTGATCATGCTATTCTTGCTAATTTGGGACGACTATCCATTAAAAACAAGTTTGTTAAGCAAGAAGTGAAACATTTGTCCGCTACAGCAATATTGTAAGTTCTACTTTTATACATACATAAATATGCTGAATAATCAGTGTTTAAGGGATATATATTTAAAAGTAATGTTTCCTTGAGTGATATCGTTTTTTATGTGTTTGTTTATAGGGACAAAATGGATATAACCCTGACAAACATGAAATTATCACGGATATTTTTCAACAAGGGAACCCAAGACGCACAATCAGAAGTTTCAATGTTAGATCCAGTGACTCTTGTTTTATCAATCAATCGAAATCTGAGTACAGATTGGTACCATGGGTGCGCTGACATTAGTCTTAAAGGAACTTTGCAAAATGCGTTTCTGAGGGCAAGCAATGAAGACTATGATCTAATTATGAGCATCCTCTTTGAAAACATACTCTATGTACAAGAACCATCTCCAGCAACAGGGAGCAGAGCTCCTGTCGCTGCTGCTGGTTCAAAATCTCCAGGGACGCCAAAGCCAACCGGCGGAAGTACACGAAGAAGAAAGACATCCGTCACTGTATCAAAAGAACATATTAGCGAAACGAGTGTTCAAACCGTTCTGTCCGCAAGGACAATTGATAACGCTGTCTACACTAAACTAGAAGTTAGTATAGATATTCCTCAAATGCGTGTCATCATGTATCAGAAAGGTGCCATTCAACTGGAGACATCACAAGGTGTAGTTGGTCGTGACGACGCTACTGCATTTGCTGATTTTGCAATCAGGAGTATCAAGATGGATATGAAATCATTCAATAACGAAAACATTTCATGTCCAATTACCGTTGGAGAAATTTCTTTGAAGGACGTCCGTCCTGGAGATAGGGCAGTTACAAACTTGATTAAGAAGAAAGCTGACCCTGACGATACAGACGCATCCGATTCATGTGTTGCTAAATTCTGTTTCAAAACCGATAAAGCCAATAAAAAAGGATCAACAATGACTTTGGAAACTACGAGTTTAACCATAATTTTGTGCTTGGACTATTTATTGCAAATTGTGGATTTCTTTTCAAGATCTGATACTGCCATGGAGTATCCAAAACCTGACCTTACTACCAAAGTAGAAAAGTTTGGAACAACGAGTGATCCAGTTCCAGTGCGAGAAGTTACTCCAGATCTTCCAAAAGTAACTATAGGAGTTGACGAAGAACTTGAAGCGGAACCGTTTTGTGCTTTCTATAATTTTTCAGAAACCGAGATTATTTTGGTGGAATCAATGGAATCAGTGCAAAGCAACGCCTTGCTCTTACATTGCGAAGTAGCTTTGAAGCAACAGGAACTCAATGGTCGCTCGAACATGATGGGTACAATTGGAAATTTGAATTTGAGTACTTGCAATTACGATGTAGACGACAATCACCAAGCAATTGCTGAAGTTATTAGTCCCATGTCTATAACAGTAGTTATGAACAACTCTGAAGCTGTTGGGACGCTGATAGATGTCAATATTTCTGACATTTTTATCCGCATGACTGCTGGGACTTTGGAGCTCCTCTTGAAAATTGTTTCCACAATTGGCAGTTCCGCAGATGCTGCATCTGCTAAAACTGACGGAAAAGATTACTCTGATTTGTGGGATATAAAAAGGAATGACGAAATGAACTTTTGGTTTTTAAACTCTGACGCTTCCGTAGAAGTTGGATTAGAAGCCCTGCAAGTACAAGAAGATAAAGTTCGACTGTTCAACGTTGCCGAAGAACTGAAAGTTAGTGAAAGATTAGTAATGGAATCTGGGTGTATTGTATTTACTTTTGAAACTGGTGTGGGAAACAATACAATGCCAATGTTACTAATTGAAACAGACATAGATCTTCAAATGTAAGCAATTTTGTCAATCCATTTTCATGATATTTTCCATAATGTTTTTTTGCCCTGTTACTTACTATTAGTGCAGATAGTTTTTATTGGTTATTTCATATTTCATGTCTCATTGATATTTTGTAGGTTCGACTGGTCAACTAACATGACTGTTGCTGGACGTTGCAAATTGGAAGCAGCTTATTACAATGCGACATTTGGGCTCTGGGAATACTTGGTGGAACCTGTTGAATCAAGACATCATGGACGAATTGCTCACCAGCCATGGGAATTACTATTTGAATACTCTTCACGAATAAATCCTAACGCTATTACAACAGATGAAGAGTCAGCCACCAATTCGTACGTGTCTATCGCCTTGGAATCCAGCAGTATATTAGAGTTGACTGTAACTAAAACAGCTCTAGAAGTTGTGGATATTTTAAAGGACGATTTTCAAGCAGGTAAAATTTGTCCAGTGTAACAAAATCCATATGAATAATTTGTTAACATTCCCTTTCTGAGGCACATTTCTCTATATTCTTGACTATATTTCACCACTGTGTGATAATTTTATCAATTGCAGCTACTAAAAAACTAGTGTCCGAAAAAGCAATATCTACAGCTGCTTACTCAATTGTAAACGACACGGGATCTGATCTGAAAATCTTTATCAAAGAAAAAACTCGTTCCCCATGTTTCGTCTTGGTTCGAGGGGGAGTAGATTACGAAGAAGTATTACTGAAACATGGAACATCAGTGAATTTGGGTTTGATTGAGTCATCTGATATGACCAAACATCATTCATCCGTTCTTCGGGAGCAAGAGGGGAAAGAAGAAAGATTATTATCAATTGAAATTGAGGAGTATGATTTTAAACGAGAAATCCCCGTAAATCGAGCCACAAAGCGGTATTACTCATTGAAGCACAAGGACAGACATGGGTATTTTGGACTCATTTGCGATATTTGGGTGAAAGATTGTTCCAAGATTGTAACTCTAAGAGGTGTTGTCCAAATAATGAACGATCTCCAAGTTGATGTTGACGTGTATTACAAAGAGGATAATGGACGGGTAGCGAAATTTGCCGGCACAGCCACTGCAGGACAAAAATGCAACCTCTCAATTCCATGCACTTTCACTAAAACTGGGGATTTATTTTTTGCACCGAAAGGATTCAATATTTCAAATGAACCTTTTAGCTGGCTTCAAGCACTCCAAGAGTTGCACAAAGTTTCCCAAGTTGTATGCAAGTCAAAGAGTCAAGACACGTCCCATTTCTTCATCAAAGTTATCGGTGAAGCAAAACAAGCCCTGCACGAGTCAACCAACCGCAAAAACCTAGCAAGTCAATGCTGTTATATTTACTTGGAACCTCCTCTATTGTTAAACAACTTGCTGCCTATTCCCATTGGATACTATAGCTCAAATGATTTAATTATGGCTGACCGTGGTAGTTCAATATGTGTAACAAATCTAAATGTGGACTTGGAAGGCAGTTGCAGTCTTAAATTAAAGGTGATTTGAAATATTTACCAGATGAGTGCGTGAATCTAATGCAAATTATTGTTGTTTATGATGCATATATTTTGTACGCTTATAGATTCCAGAGTATAACAAAATGTCATGGATCTGCAATGTTGTTTTGGACGTTACAACACCTGAAATCTCACAGTGGACATTTATATCTGAATCTGACAACAAAATCACAATTGGGATTCATAGAGAGACGGATGATAACGAAGTCACTTTGCACATTTACACTCCTTACTGGATGATAAATAGGACTGGTTTAGACTTGGTGTATAAAGGGGACGACAAGCAATCTCATCAAACTCTTCACTCAAAAGTGCAAGAAGAGCCCGTAATTTTTTCCTTCCCAGGAAAGGCCTTCTTCTCCAAAAAGGCTGCGTTTGTCAAAGTAACTCATCCAAAACTGCCGGGACCTGGGTCAGATTGGTCGGAAAAGTTCTCAATCGACGTTGCAGGAAGTGGTGGCTCAGTGACTTGTAAATCGCCAGTACATCAATTCCAACTTGGTATTGAAATTCAGTTGAGCTCCTGGGGCTTGACCAAGTACGTCATCTTTACTCCAAGATTTTACTTGGTGAACCAATGCTCCTTCCAAGTTTCTGTGAAAGAAGAAGACAAGCCAGATCATATCGTGGACGTTTCACCAAATGCATGCGTACCGTACTGGCCGGAAAGCACTCTTCCTCATCTAATTGCTGTAATAGAAGCAGACGGTTCCAAGAATGAAACAAAACCTTTCAAATATGATATTGTTCGTCACACACTATTGCAATTGAGAGGAAAATATGGCGGTATTCATGTTGACATCCATTACTCTGAAGCAAAGACCGTCATCACCTTTACAGAATTTATTCCAGGTAATAAACTATCCAGTTTTTTCCTCCTTCTATTTAACTGTTCGTCACCCGCAATGATTTTCATATATATTATTTCATTATTAAAGGACAAGCACCAGTATTGTTGGTAAATGGAACAACCGAGTGTCCACTGGAAAGTAAGGCTTTTTATATTAAAATTTATACGACATCCAGTACTAATTTGTTATAATTAATTTTGCAAACAGTTACCGAGGAGGGCTTAGAAGACGTATTCATACTCTTGCCTCGCATGTGCCAAATGTTTACGTGGAAAGATCCCATCGGCCCAAGAGTTCTTCGTTGGTCAGCCGTTGCTGCAGAAAAGAAGCCTCAAGGAACTGATAAGTTATTTGGCGACGGTTGCGGAACGTTTTTCGTAGAGGGGAGGACGTACTATTGGATTTCTTTCCTGGATGGGCTTCAGAGGGTGCTATTATTTACTGCAGATATGGAATTAACTACTTACTTGCAAGCTGCCCGTGAAAATGAAGTAGCAACTGCAGAATATATAATCATGTTGCACGGTATAGGAATCTCCTTGGTCTCCTTAAAGGAACTACTGTACATGAGAATTGCAAGGTACGCAATACGTTTGTACTTGATCCATAATGCATTTGAAGCTCGATAAGTTCAAGTACTAAAAAACCAATTCATTCGATTATGTATATTTATTTGTATCGTTTTATCTATTACATTTTTAGCTCGGAAATATCTTGGGAAGCAAGCAAACCTGCAAAAAAGAAGCGTTTCAAGCCACTAGCTTACGATGTCAGTAAATCTATTGAGATGGCGTATCAAAATTATCTGAACCAAAAAGCCATACAAGCCAGTGTGAAAACAAACATTTGCCTAGATTCCGGTTTCGAGGTACGTTATAAATTTATTACGTGCTCCGAATTGTAAACGATTTAAAGTATTCTAAATTTTCGATTCTAAACATTTTACATTGTCCATTTCCTTGTTATTTGTATGCCTTAAATAGGTCGACTTTTCAACAATGATGATTAGCAAGCCACACCATAAAAATATTCGCCGTGTTTTCCAAACTGGTATTTGGCTGCATTATAAAACACTTCCAAATTCTAGTCAATTCCACGCCAAAATCAACCGACTTCAAATCGACAATCAACTACCAGATACAATTTTCAGGTTAGTCCATAGCATACCGAGAATTATTATTTATTACTCGCTGTTCATTCCATTATCTGAAAATTGATACATTTTATATAATGTAAATTATCTGGTAATACAATTTTCAGAGTTGTCTTTGCTCCTGTGCCACCACCAAAAAGTGTTTCCACTACTGGTAAATTATTCCAAATAAACACATTCTTTTTATACATATCCCTCATTCTTTACTTAACTATTCATTACTTAACTAGTCATTACTTTAATTGCATATTTTTAGATGTACCCAAACCATTCGCAGAAGTTAGCATCATGCAACGAATTAACGCACACAGCTATGTTCAGCAATTCAAATATTTCAAAATTTTAGTCCAAGAATTCCATATCAAATTAGATATATCATTCGTGAATGCACTTGTGGATATGTTTAGTGGAACATCTGCATCCAGACAAGAGAGCATGGTAAGTTCCAGGGAACAATTATACGCTAATACCCCTGTAGGGAGCTAACATTTACTTTATTTGTCATCCTTATTAGTTGATGAAATTCAATGCTGAGTACAGCGAAGCTTGTCTAAACATGAAAGATGTACTTGCTCGCCAAATTGTTTCACAAGGTAAAAAAAAATATTTAAATCATTAAATAAATTCAGTTGCGAATATAACAATTTTATATCTACGTATTTTCTACTGACATTCACATTTATAACTCTTATGTATTTCGATGGGACCATCTTATTTCATTGTCACAAAATGTTAATTTAGATTCTTATAATCATCTCGAATCACATCGATCAAGTAATTACATAAGTATTTTGATGTCACTGATTATTAATTTTATGTTTATACCTAGGTCAGAAACATTTTTATGACTTCTTGCATTTTTCTCCACTAAAGGTATATAATACTTTGGAAAACTTTTGATTGTTTCTCTCTTGGATGGTCATTTAAATATATATATATATATATATATATATATATATGATATATTAGATGCACATCAGTTTCTCCATGGGTGGATCAGCTCAATTGTCGAATCACTTTCTCAATTTGGTGCTTGCGAGTGTTGGTGTAACTCTGACAGAAATACAGGATGTCGTGTTTAAGTAAATCTGCCTGCATTATTATTTTTTGATAGGACTTACAATTTATAATTTTATTTTTTTGCGTAGACTATCGTGCATGGAACTGCAACATTCATTCCTGTCTGGAGACCAGTTATACAATGAAGTCTACTCCCACTACACGTCTCAAGCTATCAAACAGTTGTACGTCCTTGTATTGGGATTAGATGTACTGGGCAATCCATACGGACTAGCAATGGGTAAGTCTAAGTCATCCAAATGTTATAATGCAAAAAAACTATGCAACCACATTGAAGATAGATACGAAGACATTGGTTTGAATAATTCATAATAAAACAAGAAAATCCAAGAATTAGATAAAAATTGTAGTCTAATGTAAAAATGGGGTTCAACATATTTGATAGAAGACGCCGTGAGAGAAAGGGAAAAAATAAGGTTTAGTATTCTGATTCTTTAGGAACCATTTGCTATAATTTGCAGGGGTGGCCAGCGGTGTAGAGGCCTTCTTCTACGAACCTCTTCAGGTATGTAACATAGTAGTTGACTTCTGCTACAAATTAATTATTCATTAATTTTTTTCATATTTCATTCTACTCAGGGAGCAATCCAGGGGTAAGTAAATTTTGCAATTTTTAAATTTGTCCGTGAGAAATGAGTATGGTGCATGATGCGAATAAGTGGATAACATAAGCACTATAGATCTAAATAGATTTAAATTTAAATTTGCCGATATTATATTTTTTCATAGACCTGGAGAATTCGCTGAAGGTAATTTAATTTGATGTACTTCTTGCCATGTTTAATACGAAAAGTTGCAAAATCATAATGCTAACTGTATTTGAAGGCTTGGCATTGGGAGTCAAAAAACTACTTGGGAGCACTGTGGGAGGAGCAGCAGGTGCATTTTCCAAAATCACCGGAACACTCGGCAAAGGTATTGCTGCTTTAACTATGGACGATGAGTACCAAAAAAAGCGCAGAGAAAACATGCATCACAGGGGAGATGCGGCGGAAGGTCTGGCTAGATCTGGTAAAGGGCTTGTTATGGTATGTTTTTACTATCGAGTATGTCTCTACAATGTCTATATTTCATAACTTGATTTTATTGACCGTATTCGACTTTTTACGTTTTTATGTAGGGCTTTGTGGAAGGCTTGACTGGATTTGTCAGTAAACCAATACGTGGAGCGAAGGAAGATGGTGTAGGAGGATTCTTTAAAGGAGTAGGAAAAGGAACTATTGGATTAGTAGCGCGACCTGCTGCAGGTGTTGTCGATTTTGCGAGTGGTTCATTCGATGCTGTTAAAAAGTTAGTGAAATTCACAAATAGAGTAAATTTATTTTTAGTACATTTTGTAACTGAATTTTATGTCGTAGATGTGCCTCTACAAATGTCGAAGTTCACAGAATGCGACCCCCTCGATGCATCCCTCCAGACTCTGTTCTACAGCCATATGTTAAACATGAAGCTGAGGGAGTTCAACTATTGGTGGTAACTCATGATCCGTTTATTATTTTGACTTGCTAATAAATGTAATTCTGACTTTCTCAATACCATAATAATAGGATATTGAGAAAGGACGCTATTCCCGAACGGACTCATATATTGCTCATGCTCTGATAAATCCTCACGGAATATACGTGGTGCTTCTTACCAATAAAAGATTGATGTACTTGAAACGAGATGAGATGTTTGGTGGATGGGGGGTAAGTTCAGCTGTTGCAGTTTAGAATCTATGTAGTTGATGTTGTGCGGATGATGCGTATATTAATATTTTTCTAATGCAAATGACAAACGTCAGGTGGAATGGACTTACATTTGGGAAGATTTTTCCCATCCCCCAGATCTAGTTGAAAGAGGACTACTTTTTACACTTAAAACTGCTCCTCGGAAGAAATTGAAAGTTTTTGGATCTGCTGGCTCAAGAGAAATTATTATTCCTATCTATAGTGCTGAAGTCTGCACGGTAAGACTAAAGATTATACAATTACAATTAATCTTCAAGTTTTAAAAAATTAACTCGTATTCTAGTGGCTACTCAGTAAAATCGAAGAAGCTATGAAAACAGAAACTGGTGAGAGTTTAATTTTAAAATCGATTAAAAATATTGGTTGTTGTTCTTCTTTTCGAATTTATGACTTATCTAATCTTGCAGGAATGGTGTTTACGGATGGGATTGAAGCCACAGAGCTAAGCTTTGCGTGATTATTATTATGTCAAGATTATGAACGTTCTTGGGTGCATCTACCTTGCCTTATTCACGACGACGACCATAATATTAATTCTTCTTCACGTTACCGGTTATACATTACCTACATATATTTGTTATTTGTCTTCACTAATCACTGACTCACTTTTCATTACACGTTAGAAAGTTGTAAATTCATGTTCTACAGTTTATCCCTAAAGTCACTATGATAATCATTATTTTCGCATTACACAAAACTGAAACATATTATATCATGAATGTCTATGCACTAAAATAAACCAAAGATTTATGTAACGCTTAGAAAATGGATTTTTATTTATTCAAGTTGCAATATTTTTTAGTAACGATTGACTCATGATAATAATGTAATAATGAATAAATTGGATCATACTTGTACCCTAAAAATATGTAGAACTAGAAGAAATGATCCGGCAGTCAGGGTGGATCATAAGGACATTTTCATTAAAAATTACATACACACGCACAAATTACACAAAGTTATGTAAAAAAAACTGCACTCAACAAGTATTCACTCTCAGGCATGCAAAATCAACGAGACTAATAATAACTTCTAAACTAATAACTTTCATTCTTGAATGTAGTGGTTGTTGGTTTGTTACAATTCTGATGGTTTCATGTGCCCATTTGACTCTACATCGTAACTCTATGGGAAGAAAATAATAAAATTTGCATGTTATACTTAACTATAAACCTAATGTTATATTATATCATTCACCATCATAAATATCTTGGAAACGTCGGACTTACCTTAAAGCTGGGATTGTCATAGGACGACTCGGATTTTCGATCATTGATTGGTGCTTTGGCATAATTTTGTTTCTTGATAATCATGAGCAGCGTAATTACACCAATAATTGACAAAGCCGCAACGACCGCAAGGGCCACCAATGCTCCATAGTAGCTGCTTGCTTGATTTACTTGGTCGGAGGTTTGCAAATTATCTGGATGGTTTTCTGAAACACACAAATATTGATGGCGTTGTTTTTTTATATTGGTCAATTACTTTATTTAGATACCTTGTTCTTCGGGCCTGGGTAGTTGTCCAGCCTTTGTCTGAATAGAAATCACATTCGATCTCTTCTTTTTCCTGTAATATTTCATGTGTCACTTTCAGCACTTACATACAATTAGTCTATTATCTGGTTATTAAAACTAGGTCAAGTGGTTTATCATGGCATTTTAACATTTTGAACTAAAATTGACACTTTGATATTACTTCATATATATGTACTGTACTCAGCCATAAGTGATGACCACTTAAACGCAAGGTTAATTGACCCCGGCTAAACTTACCCATTGGATAAGAATGCTTCCAACCATAATGTGTAGCTAAAATTAATAATACATTCATGTAAAGATTCACAATTGGATGATGATATTATAAATGTGTATAATCCATTGGTATTAATTATACTTGGTTGCGGGTTTGAGATCAGTAAGCGTGGCTTTTTTGCTCGTCTCTCGTTTAGGGACCTTAAAATAGTCCTTTTGTTCCTGCTTCTGGTCGCTCATGTAAATGACTTGATAGATATTTATGAATTTATCCTCAGGATGCGGAACTCCTTCAATATTTATCTCAACAGACGTTTCAGTGATTTTTGCATGCGAAATAGCAATGTTGAAGGAATATTCATCTTCGGTTTTTGTGGTGCGTACAAAGATGGGTTTCTCAGATTTCAAAACCGTTGTTTGATTAGAATCAAATGGAATAAATAAAATTTTAACTTCGTATTCTAAATTAAAAAAAAAATATTGGTTAGATTAAAATTCCGTGAACACGTAGATAATGTGAATACATAAATATGTAAAATTGCTACTCGCCTTTGTCTGGTTGCAAATTTTCCAACTCGAATTCACTCAATGAACGATGAATTAAGGGGGTCGTCGAATAAACCTAAATCATTAAATACATTGTGATATGATATTCCAGCAACAATTATGTGTTGTGATAAAAAAATGTATGAGTTCATACCTTGTCATCGCTAGCTTTATACGCGATTTGCACTCCATCGACAAGATTTTTTTCGAAATCGGTAAATTTTCGCCAATGAAGAGTAATGGAGTTGCTCGCAGTTGATCTCAATTGTACTTCAGGATCAACAATAATTTCAGGTGGGAGAGTAGTTGTTGGAATGGCTGCAAAAATAAATAGCATTTCATCATGATAATTCAGTAGGTTGTAATTCAGGAGGATTGATGCATACGTATGGGAGGGGTCCGTGCAATCATAATGTCGCTGGTTGATCCAATATCCGACTGAACAACCACCACCTGCAACAGAGTTGACAATTTAGAAACAAATTCTACTTGTAGACAAAAGAAAGTTGCAAATAAACTCTCACTTTTATTTGCACGTGGTACTCTGTGTCCGGTTTAAGGTTAGTTAGGAATAATTGCAGATGAGTGTTGTCAATGAGATCCTCAGCTTGTTGGAAGACTTTCCTTTCCCACTGAGCAGGATTTGATTTGTGCCTACAAAATTTCAAAATGAAATCAGTATAGTTTCAGTATTATATTTCTGCATTTAAATAATCCGAAAGTTTGAAGTTCATACTCAAATTCGCTTGTGTAAAGAACTTCGACATGTCCTTGAAGGCCGACAAGTATTGGGGAAACGGTAAAGTCGATTTGTAGGGTCGATTCGTTCAACGGATGAATAACGATATTCGCTACTTTTGTTCCTACATGATTGGTTTATTTATTCATTTTATTTATTTATTATCCAGTGCATTTCCATTTCTATATTTTGCATTGGTTAAGCTTTACTTACGGTCACGATGCATTCCATGTGGTGGTCCCTGTTGGAATGGATTCAGGCCAAATGGAAATTGGTGACCACCTGAGAATATGTGCAAAGATAATTTTGCTTAACAGGTACAAATTGCGTTTCATTTTCATGATGTGATGTACATCTGCAGAAACACTGGCGAGCTTCAAGTTTTTAAGAGTCCAAAGCAAAAGTATTTATGTAAATGTGTGTCTGTACTTGTCAGAATTAATGCAGAATGAAAATTGGCAAAACATCACGTGCATATACTTGTTATACATAGCAAGCTGAATACGAACCTTGACCTGGGAACCGGGAGGGAGGTGCGTGTGAGAAATGCGGAGGAGGTCCCTGACCATGAGGTGGGAACTGCCCCACCTGATCAGGGTAGTTTTGGTCATCGTCATCCCCAAGTTCTGAATTTGGAATTAGTACAATATAACTTCCGTCCTCTGCTCGCTCCACAAATTTGGCCCCCAATTCCTTCTCCAGCTCTCTCACTTGGTGAGCAGTTTGAACTTGAACAAATGTGCCAGTGTTGGACGACGGTGGGGGTGGCTGTGGCTCACGGTCCACTCCTCCCCCATGAATCTGGTCCGATGGAAGCCCGCCATCCTCTCCGAGAGTTGCCAAGTGATGAAGTAACTCTTGGATCTGGTGTGGGTTAATTTTGTCCAGGTGAACAAGCGTGGGTTGGTTGCCAGCAGTGGAAGGACGCTGGTGGGGGTCGTGCTGTGAAGGGAGGTTTGGTGGTGGATGCAATGGGAAATTGGGTGCTGTAGGGCCGTTATTAAGTTGTGTGGTGTTAGCATTAGCGTCGTGTCGTATTGGGGTGGGTGGAACAGCGGCTGTCTTATTAAGCGTTTCAGACGAAGGTACCAATGCATTTTTGGATCCGTCTACAAATAATCAATAAGATAGTCTGTTCTACAGCATGCACAAACAATTCACTACAACTAAAATTAAACGTAGGGATTTAAGCACTCAATATACATATATCTGTATGTAGCTCAAGTCAAGCTAAGTCAAGTGTGCAATTTGATCCAGCAGAATTTGATTACACTCTTAAAAAAAGCAGGCATCAGATTACAAAGACTTGTACTTACTTAATTCGCTCAAATTGTGAAGGTGATGTTGAGGAATTTGTGGCATTCTGCAGGACCATTGGTAACAACACTCATTTTCGGGCATAGTCATAACAGCAGCAAATTGCTTTGGGCAAGGCAGATTCGCAGGTGGTTGGTCGGTCATGACGGGGCAGAGGCTTTGACAGGTCACGTTACCAAATTCGCAATAGCACCTAAAAATGAAACAGTTTTGAATTATCACAACTTGGTTTCTATTTATCCTGTTTCTTTCAGAGCTTTACGGATGAATGGGACGAATGTGGTTATGGTTGGGGTACGGATGAAAGCATTCGAACCCGTTTTCCATTTAAGAAACACTAATTTACTGCAAAACGAAGGAATGTGGATCTCACCGCTTATCACACCCGGTTATCTTTTGCGGGATCTCGTCAAAATTCCTAATCATGATCCCACCTTCGACCATGCAACTGGAATGCTACAAAATAACAAAAAATTAGGTCGTGAGTAAGAATTGTAGCTAAGAAATACTGCATTTGTACCTGCACACAACGCATTTGAGAGCAACAATTTGGAGGTTCCTTCTTGAACTTTGGATCTGGTTCCCATTTAACGCACGAATCATCCAATAAATCCAAACCATCCACGGGACAATCAATTTCGACACATTTCATTTTTCCTCCACGTTGACAAGTGCAGTAGGCTTCGCATGTATCAAAAAATTCTTCGCCAAACGCATAGCTTTTATCTTTATGCATACAAGGGAGCTTCTCAGCAGGTGTAATACTAGCAGGGTCATCTTCCGTTGTAGCGTCCATCTCTTCTGGACTTTCTCCAAATTCAGAACTCAGAAATTCACCATCTTCCAAACTTCCCAATGAGTCGTCAAATTTCGTAAATCCTGCCGCAATATTGCTCTCAACATTTCCAATATTTGCCTTGAAATGGTATTCTGTGTTTCGATCAAGGTTGGAAACTGGTAGAGTGATCTCTGAACGAGCTGTTTTAATGGCATCCTTGACTTTAGAAGTTACATTTTTCCATAGCTTTGTATCAGTGCTGTACTGAATGGTGATGGATTCATCGGCTAATACACTCAATTCCGCATCGCTTATTCGAACAGCTACCATGATGGTGGACTCATTCAACGGATGAATGAGAGATATTCGAAGGGAATACGAAGGTCTGACGGTGGGGGCCTCTGAGACTGACGATCTACCTTCGCCTTGTGCTGGAACAATTGTAGTGGAATAATCCATTAGTGTAGCTGCAGTGGTGGTGGCATCTTTCATGACATCGCTTAGGGTTGAATTGCCACATACTGTGAAGTTACGAACGATAAATATATGTACTTAGAAACTATGTACCATTAAAGTTTCAGTCAGTCCGCATGACTTTGATAGTACTTGGCATTACATTTTTTTATAAATTTAAGTAACTATGATCAAAGTACCTGTGACCATGCAGCATTTGTCACTCGGATCTGGCAGTGTCACGCAATCATCCCCACTCGAGTTAGTTGCTGCTGGTGGGCATCTGAGGATGAGCAAAATGTTAACCACAAAATATAGTCATGAATCTGGTCAGTCGTATATTGTGACTCATTTTAGCGATGTACAAGAGAATAAATGGAAGCCATTTTTCTGCAAGCTTATTTGACTTGACTTTTAACATCATCTTTTCATCAAGACAACAATACAAAATCGAGTCAGACTGAATTTTATTGTTTCCGAGACACGAAACCATAAGAAAAAATGAGCTACACAAGGCATAAAGATTCATCTCAAAACAAAATCGTAACACACATACCTCGGCTGACAGGTAACATCCCCATTGCTGAAACACATGCACTGCTGGATACATCCATCATAAAATTTCTCATCCTTGGCGTAAGTAGTGTTTTTGTAGAGGCATCCATCTGTTGGAACAGTGGGGCTATCTTTTCTACTTCCAGACTGTAAGGGTTCCCCCTGGCACACCAGCATTTCGCAACACTCCAAGTCCGAGGGGTCCTTTTTTATTTCGCATCCCAGCGGAATTTCCTTTTCCTCGTCTCTCCGGTAATTGCACCTTGGCTGAAAAAATTAAACATGGTCAATTCCACATTTTATTATTCCAAGAACACATTACTCATCCTCCTTGGAAAACGAGACCTGCCTAGAGCTCTTTCTTCTTATTATTACATATCCATATATCAAGAGAAATTCACGACTTGCTTACTTAATTACAGAATAATATTATTAAGCTACAGCCTCCTACTTTTTGAAGCAGTGTCTTTGGTCACAATTTGGTTCCAATATTTTAAATTCTTATTTAGATTCAAACAATATTAAATTCTTAAATGTGGAAGCATTATTACACTTCGAAAAAGTACACAAATCATAAAACAATATGCGCAAGTAATGGATGAGACATTAGATATTTATGTACTCACCACACAAAGAAATTCTCCCGAGGTTTCACATCTGCATTTGTAGCTGCAATCGTCAAAATGCTCTTCTCCATATGTATATGTCTTATTTTTGAATACACAACCATCCACCTTCTGGGTTGAGGTGGACGTTGGCGTCGTTGGAAGAGATGTGGATGTAGATGAAGAAGAAACCTCAGTTGCACTTGTGGGAGTCACGCCTGCAATTATAAAAAATGACGCATTGAAGGAGGAAACAAAGAAATTTTCACTAGCTCCTTATCCATGCATGAATAAGGAGCTATGTAGACAGACTAATGAATAATGATTGCATGCCAATTCTTCTCACTTTATGACTTAAACTACAAAACAGCTCATATTTGCAAAAACAAGTCCATTCGTCATTTTGAATATTTTGAGGAGAAATTTTATGATTCTTTAATTGCAGGCTTACATTTATACATATTTTTACGGACAGCAGGAACGTATGTATGCAGTACATTAAAATAATCGTTAAAGTTCCCCATGGAAGAAATGACGATGAAATAGCGAACAAAGTGAATGACATAAATTGGTTTACCCGACTGGCACCCATGGACTTCGTCGTATGGATCTCCAATTTGTCCCTCATTACAAACACAAAGAGTTTGATTTGTTTGTTGTTCTTCATCAGAGAGAAGTCCGGTCGCAGGGCCCAGACAATGAGCGTTAGGTCCACATTTAACAGAGTCGCAGGGTTGCGGAATTATTGCCACAATTTCTGCGGATAATCATCATCATTACTTATTAGCTAAAGTATTAATTAATTAGCATTGCAGATGGATTAGCCAATAATTACTTAAGAAATGCCATTCACTAAACTAAGCTTAAGTTTTACATATTCCTACTACAATTAATTTGCATATGCTTCTAAATGATTTAAATCGCATATCAAGTTGTCTTGTCACAATGATTCGTCACGCTTCGTCAAATGCGTTCCTGGTCGTTGTGAATGCTCAGTGCATATTAAAACAATTTGGTAATTTATTTCGATCTAATCGATTCGCACGGGCTGCGGTGTCGTATTTGAAAAAAAGTGTTATGCAATCACTGAGCATACACACATACAACGACCCCAGACTCGATCCATTGACAATTATGGTTTAGAAACTCGCTAATGGATGCATGATGGCTGAATGATGACAGATTCTTAATTAGTTTCGCCGACAGGTTTATAGTTACACAGTTGTCACAAGTCAACACCTTCATTATTATTTAATCATATAGCTTGATCACATTTATGCAAACCTTTCTCGTTAATGTGATCTTTGATAATCAATTAAAATATGCATTGGCTAACTTTTGGAATTTTATGGCATTGTGCAAAGCTTTAAGAAATTTCAAAAGTGTTGCATATCAGAAACATATCTCACCACGTCCTGATTCCTCCGTTCGACCGTGTGGATGAGCTCTTGCACAAGCGATTAGAACACAACAATCATCAACTCCGGATGGTTCCTCGAAGCACATTTTATCTGCGCAAAATTACGCGAGAATTATAAATCAGCTTTTCTGTTTTAAATATTTCAAGCCCAGAGAGGTCACATACCGTGAGAGAAAGCTCCTTTTTTGAAAAGTGGGATACTGCACCGTTCCTGTTGAGGATAATTTCGTACATGTAAATTAACAACTGAACCCACTCATTCGGTTCCTCATATGTATTTACTTGACTGACCATGCATTTGACTTCACCATTTTTCAGACATTCGCAACGTTCGTCACACCCAATGTGAAAAATTTCTCCAAGTTCATAAGACGTTCCATTGTACAGACAACCAACGGAAGACACGGGGTGAACTGTTGTCTCAATTTCAGTTACACCCACTGCTGATACTGGGATGATTGTTGGAGCGGCCGCCACTTCCTGCTCAGTGGAACTACTTGAAGTGGGGTGGGCAGCGTCCATTTCCGTTTCAGCTGATAATTCGGATGATTCATTTGAGGTATTTTCCGTTGATGACGATGGATTTTGAGGACTTGCTGTAATTTATAATTTTTATAAATGATCAAATTAAACTTGTTGATCGAATTTATAACTTATTTCTGGTGAATACATATTAAGAGCATGTGCAAGGTCGTAGAGTAATTTATAATGAAATTAATATATTGCCAAAGTAAATAAAAATACAGTGGGGGTTGAAAGGTCATTTGTGAGCCGTGATTTTGATTACAGTATATATTTTACTATAAATATCTTACTTTCACTTTTGCATAAAATATAAAAAACATGACAGAATGGCGATATAGAACGAGGTAGAAATAATAACTATGTGATGTATTGCACAAGTTAGGTCATTTCGTGTAGGCATTTAGCTGAGAACGTTCATGAATAATATCAATTACGTATAATGTTTGCCCTTAAATTGTTTAAAGGCCGTATTTAAACGTAGGCAAGTGTTCAGTCGCCTAACAATTGGATTAAAGACTAAGTAATTACATAATCGGCATATATGGACAAAACTCAATATGATTTATCAAGAGGTACATACATAGGTCCCACCCTTCATTTTGAATTATAATTCCTCACAACTAAAATATAATTACCTATCAGTCCACATTTGGTCGACAACGACAACTAATACTTCATTAAAACTACATTGAATGTGACTCACACTAATTGCACTAATTCCTTGCAGTGGTATACACCACGACTAGAGACGACGATATGTATTTATACATACCTATATTTATTGTAAATACATCTACGAGTAAATGTGTGTAACGGGATCTTTGGAGCAAATACACACAACGCTAATTCAAAAACATTGACAATGACATCATTAAAGAAGTCACCCCAGAGAGGATCCCCGTAAAGGATTCATTTACAATACCGATTCACTCGCATTCGACTAAACCGCATTCGCATAAATAAAACTGCAGAAGAAGAGGAACTTTCTATGTATATACAAATTTCTATATACATTTGTAGTGCCTGAAGGCTGCACGCTTTATCGAGCTCGGACCAAGAGTGATTGGTCACTACTACAATATTACTTCTACGACTACGAAATTACTAGAATTGAGTTTGGACTTGATTTGTATGTTGCTTACCATCCGTAATAAATTGGACGGACGGGTACTCCTTCGCGTCCACGGCGTATTTGAGGGTGTAGGAAGTGTTGGGCAGGAGGGTTGAGAGGGTGATTTGTGGAAGACCGGGGGGAATCCTGTGTTCTTTCCACACCCCATCGCTTCCTGGCCTCTGTGCAAGTTCGTTCGACAAAGCGATCGAGAGAATTGCCTCCTTGTCGTTCTTGGGCAACTTAATCACGGCTGAATGGTCGCTCCGTTTCAGCACCGTGACTTGCATGCTTCCTGGCCCGTCCGCTTCTTTGGTTTCCGTTTTCAATAACTCATTGTTGAGAAAAGCAGCGGACGAAGAGCTGCTGCTCGATCCATCTCCTCCATCCTTTGTCGACTCAATCTTTAATTTTGACTTATCATCTTCACCCAAATTGTTGTGCGACTCTGTCAGCTTAAAGTCGCGGCCCCCTTTGACATCGTCGCCGACAGTGGAGTGGTGGGTATGATCTTGGGGTTTGATAACTTGGCATTGTTGTGGAACACAACACCCATCAAATAGGGCGTCGTTTCCAATCAGGATTTTGCATGCATCGCTCATTTCTCCGGTGATGTTGGACATGGGAATAAAATCCTTTTGGCAGACTGGGGTCGTTGGAGAGTCTTGACAGGAAAGTTCACCGGATGTTTCACATTTGCAAGATTTTTGGCATTTGTGAGTGAATGTGGTTTCTCCAGAGTTGATTTGGCGAGTTTCAATCTCACATTTTTTACCTGAAGGAAATACAAATTGACAGCAAAAAATTAATTACCTTTGATCAGTTAGAGTCTGAGAGAAAAAGATAATGTTCTATTAATTCGAAAGACTAGACCATTGCATCAACCTCATATCCTCTGTTGTTAGCTGTCAGTTATTGTAGCACGAATATGTATGTACCTCTGTCATTTCATATCTGACAAATATGTAGGTTGTTGCTCGATCTTTATAATTTTTAATGCATACCAACGTCTTTGGCCCCAGAAATCTACAACATCGAGTTAGACATGCAGAAGAAACTAACAAAATTTCGTACACAATTTTGATAATTAAGTGTCTTTCTTGATGGTTGGAAGTTGACGCGTTAAAAATGTGAACTTGCATGCGGTGTGGCTGATCAAAAAAAATACTCAGGTTACTCAATATATTACAAAGCCTGGTGCAGAATCTATTTTGATTTCGATTCAAACCACAATAAATGATGGATGAAGGTTTGCAATAACTGTGACACTTGTGTATAAGCTGTGCTAATATTAGCCGTGTAGTTGTTAATGGCGTAGTGAGATCTACTCTCTAAATTCAAGATGTTAATTTCAATTCATAAAAATTTGATTTAAGGCTGAAATGTTTACTTATATTTATTATCCAATACCACCAACCACTACGTACTGCACGCTCAAAAGTGAAATCGAATGCCAGCGCTAAATTATTCTAATCAGATTTTAATAGTAAATACATCATGACATAAATACAATCACATCTGCCTAAGTATCGGGAAATCAAGGTACCTGACTTTTTGCTGGGTCCTTTAGATTAATCTTACATATAAATTTCGCATTTTATGAATCCATTCAAAAGTTTTTGAGGTAGCAACTATGTTTCAGATAAACGACGCTTCAACAACTTGTCACCAGCAAACTAGGTGAACTCAGAGTAACGGAAACTTACAAGAAATCAGAATTTTTATTACGCTGTACTACTTAAAAATCATGCAATATTGTCATCTCGCAAACAGAAAGAAACAATGAGTACAAGTACTTATCATCATGTTTCAAGATTATGTCAGCCTGATTCAAGTTGCTTTTGCGGTTTTCGGTTAAAATAAACCCAAGTCTCCCACCGTTGCCAATTCATTCGAGTGTAATAATAGCAACCTGCCATCCATGGAATTATATGTAGTTGCAAGTGCATTCATTTTATGAAAACACTAATACAGATACACACTGTATTTTATGGTAAAACTAAAGTTTAAAGAAAATCAGTAGGACGAAACTAATTCTTTTCAAGTGCTGTCTTTTTGGGAATTAGTAGACATGGCAGGTTTGTTGCTTATTGTATTGTTTGGTCAGAGCAAACGTCTAAATATGCGTACCTTCAATTACTTCTGCTTCCGCTGCACTGCACACCTTTTCCGAATTCAAAGTTGTTCCAGGCGAACACGTACAAAGGGCTCGATGGTTTCTCGCGACACAAATTCCGTTCGTCATGTTTGTTTCCTTGCACACATCGGGCAACACCTTACAAGCATCCGCACAAGCTCCTCCGACGCACATTTGGTCATTTAGGCAGCTGGTGTCATCACTGCATTGAGTTTTTGCTGAAAAAATTTCATGAAATTGTTAATTATTATCGTCAAGAGTGGATTCAGATATGCATTTAAAATTGTTTAGTTTAAATTTACATAGTTGAGTCTTAAATATTTATTGGCTGCGCGTTGAAATGAAAATTAGTTTATTTTTGTATTTATTTTTTTGAGCTGCATTTGTCGAAATTCCAAATCTGAATTGTATGCAATTAAGTACTCATAGATGTGTATGCATATAATAATGGCTAAATAAATAACCCTGAAAAAATATTTCGCTATACAAGCCCTCCATTTATTTAATGGTACATCACCCTCCGCACCCATTGTTAGATAAGAAATGAAGACAAAGGACATTGTAATAATGAGTGTCACATTCATTGTTGACTTAGTATGGTGTTGGTGACAACCTTTATTCTCTGAAGATGCTTCATTTGAAAATTAGGTATGCAAATGATTTTATCATCAACATTAAGCTATTTTACTAAGGAACAAGTAGTTACGTCGCAAGTGTGTTCTCTGCGACGGATAGAAAATGATGCATCAAATTATAATTTTAAATTAGTTCTGCATTAATTCACACATTTCATTTGATAAAAATCCTTCAGGCCATTTGAGCTCCGATGCTGCTGAAAGTGTGGTTTTACTACTACTTGCCTGGTACTTATATATTGTTACCAGTATGCACAATAGTACTTAATAAAGAATTTGTAGCTTAGTTTTTAGCCTGACAAACTTCCCAATGTGAAAAGGGACCAAGAATAGAAAATTATATCAAGGTATCCCCAGGAGTCCCGGTCAGTTTTGAAATGATTGGAAATTAGTCGGAAAAATATACAAAGAAATTAACGAAGTATTCAATGCTGCTTGCAGTAAATTGTAATTTGTTATCAAAGAATATAGATGCATGCATATAAAAATGCAATAATTTCGTCCACTCTCTCGAATATGTATGTTTGAGCTCCTACTGATGCGGAATACAACTTAATTTCTAAAATACATGAAAATTGTCGCAAACTAACGGAGTTTACGAACACTTGGCGTTGTTTTTCATATAAGAATGAGATAAAATTTGACACGGTTCCCATCCATCGATGAAACAAATGGTCAAACTCAAGAAAATTTTCACAAACAAGAAAACTGTTTCTCAGATAAAACTTAAACTTCTCAAATTTCGAAAATGCAAACAAGCAGTCTCACTTTCTTTAAATATGTAGCTATGACTTGAGATTTATTAAACTTATTAACTGAATGTAAGTATTCATGGGATTGTACGTGTCCCTTGTTTATCATTAACTTGAATATAGTCATTTCACTTTCAAAATAGAATTTGAAGGATGGCAGGATTCGTCGAGTTTGTGTATTTGTTACGTTGACAAAAAAATTGTATATAGAGTTTGATGCATTTGGTGATAACTTTACAAGCTTGTCGTGTTAGCAAAATTCGTGTTGCACTTTTTTAAAGATGATACATTGGAGAAAAACCAACAGAGCTTAACAGAATTGGCCCAAAGGGATTAATTTAGCAATAAAATGGTACAACAAACATAACTGACCACGTTACTTGTGTTCGAAATCAACCACGTATAATTTACATGACAACAAAATCGGTATTCTTAATGTAAATATACTGAATTCTGTTCATGTAATGGTCAAAATTTCATACAATCTGACGATAATATTAATTTGACAGTTTCGTATCATGCTTTAGCGTCTTGTATCAATGTATTTAGAATCGTTTGAAAGTTGTACTTGTGAGTTGATTTACCGGTACCGTCTTGTATCTGTTTATTAGAGTTTATTTGGGATTAGCGGTGGATCTGGATCAGCAAATTCTTTAATAACGTTGTCATTGGCGTGTAGGTACTCGTCCATTCTTTAAAGTCATTTCTATTAGGTCATTGGACTGTGATCAAATCAGATGCGGTAGATACAAACATTTTCTTTTATTGCGTTCCTCAAAGACAATAGAGGCGGAAGAAACCAGAAACTATGAGTTGATTCCGTTGATTCGATATCATTGAACGATTGTACTAAATCAAATTGTGTAATACGACGGACCATTCGAGGGAGTGTACATGTCAGAACTTGTGTGTTTAGCTTCTATTTAGCATTAGCAATATCAAAACAATTGTGGTGACATTAACGACACTTTTGAGACAAAGATTTGCTTTTACATTCTTGGTATTTTGTGCTTCACTGTGGTTTTTAGATCTTAAGGGAATGTTTTACTTCTCGGCAATATGTGATTTACCAGATTCTTCGCATTTTTATTTTCGGGACGGTATTTGTATCCTACGTATGCATTTAGTATCCAAGTAAGCATTAGGGAGTTTGCATGTATACTTCCGTAAATAATTTCCGTGACGTAGCAACGTGATTCCGTAGCTTTTCACGGAAATTTTTCACGTCTTCACGTTGCGGAGGGCGACAGTTTGCATAAAAACACGCAACGTGACCCGTAGTAAGACATCCGTAATTTTTCACGTATTTACGATGTTTTCTCTGTCGCTACGTTTAAAAATCAACGTGAAAAACTAATTTTCACGGACGTTCTACGGACTCAACCATTTCTACAAAATTGGTTCAAATAATAGCGTAAATACATATACAAAATAATTCCTTAACCTTAAACAAATATTTTAACAGCTTTCTTTCGAATGTTTTAATATGTTAGGAGCAATACTATCACAATTAAGAATAATAATTTGACTTTATCTCCTCACTATTTGCATAATTAGTTATTTATTGCTTGAATTTACTTACAATGAGGAGGTGTTACGTGTTTATTTCCGATTTTGACAGGAGTAATTTTAAATTGTCACGCTCAGAAATATGCCGACCCATATTTATGCGTTTTTTTAGAATGCGCATGTTTTCGCCCGTAGCGGAATTTAAAAAAATTGGCGAAAATAAGAATTTGTCAAAACGCTGTCACTTTCGAATTTTAACCCGATTTCAAAAATTGTGCTCAGTTTGTGCTCAGAATTAGTCTGAAATTATAAAAAACCCATTTAAAAAACTTATAATTTTCAAAAAATTAACGGTTTTGCGTTTTAAAAAAAACTTAGAAATAGCATGAAAATATTTAAAATTTTATAAAATGAATTTTTATAGTACTTCTTATCAAAAATTATGTTTGTTCAAATTCGAAAAGTGGCAGCGTTTTGAAAAATTCTGATTTTTTCAAATTCTGTAACTGGCGTAAACATTCGCATTTTGGAAAACCCCTGGATAAATTGGCGATAACCACCTCACACCTCCTCAGTGTTAGATTGACTAACAATGGAGGTCTCCTAACGCACCTATTCTTACAGATTTCTAACAAAGTATCAATCGATCAAAAATTTAACTAGTATGAAATTTGCAATATTTGCATCCGAAACGGACAAAACGGAGAGTAAAATCGGTGCATTTTGCAGATGAATTTATTAATATTAATTAAGATAAACTAATCCAAGGACTTTGGTTAACTATTTTATAATTGGCATTAATTAGTAATTAGAAAGATGTGGAAGAAGGACTGAAATTGTTGAAATTAATTAGTTAACTAATTTTCTAAATGCAACTCGGATTTGGTGAAATACAATCTTTAAAAAAAGCTTAAAAATGAAAAGTGTGGGGTGCAAAGTGTCTGGTGCAACCGCCCCCAGGTTGCTTATCTCCGTCAAGTTAATGCTGGGAAGGGTTTTGAAATTTAAACAAAAACTTTTGTTGATAATTCTAAAATAATTCACAACTAAAAATTGTAAAGTAAAAATTGGAAGAATAGAAAACATAATTACGTATTTATTTATTTGTGGAATTGCAAACTATAATTCCGTAACCGTGCAACGTATAAAAAAGATGCATTTTTACGTTACGGTTTACGACACGGACGTCAATTTGCAAACTGTCACAACGCAACGTCGACGTAGTTTCAAAATCTACGGTTCTACGTCACGTTCAGGGTCCACGGAAACATTCATGCAAACTCCCTAATAGGGAGTATATAGGGAGTATTATAAAATATATTTTGATTATACTTGCGTGGCTGGTGAGATCAAGAGATCTTTAAATTACAAGGTCAACCAGATTTGCATGCTCTAGCGTGTCTCAAAATTGGGCATTCTATCTTGTGAAGTGCTCATCACTAACAATAAGTTTTCATAAATCTCTAAAAGTAATCAACACGACATTGAATTAAAAGTATACGTACATGGTAATATACACTAAAAAATTGGAAAGGAAAGGCTGCAAATTTTTTGGGGTAGCGAAGCGTTTATCAGTCCTCTTTCCGATGTCTTCTTGGTCAAAAAAATACATAAAAAAAATTGCATATGTGTTCTAAGAAAAATATCACCTCATCATGTATTTATTAACGAATTAAAGGGTGTTGGTATAGTTTAAACAAACAGCAAAGTTGCAACGGTCACTATGAATACGGCTGCCGGCTGTCTGACATTACATAGTCAATAGTGGCAAATAAGTGGCAACCACCAAAATATTCGAGGTGAATGGAAATTCCTGTTTAAGAAATGGAAAGTGAAACTGGTCTGGCATAATAGTGTTCTTTGAATCAGCAAATATTAGTAAGCAGGATGACGACAACTCATTCCAAGCGAAGGGATACTTTAACGCTAAATATTCCTGTGTTTGAAACCGTTGACTTCAATGTTATCGAACAGACTCCAATGTTATCGCAAATCTTTATCATAATTACATAGGTAATCCAAAAACCGGTCACCAGAATCTTGTTTATCCTGCAGTTGTACAAGTCAAAAATAGCAACACACCAGCTCTTCATCTCCTCATACAAGATGCACAAAGGTAGTGCAATTTGCACATAAACTTGCATGCGTGTAATTATTTTTTTGTAATAAAAAGCTAAAAGTTTGCAATAATTCTTGTTAATGCAGCTCTAAATTGCATTCACCAAGGAAGGAGAGCACACAGACAGAAGACGTATGGATACTATTTTGTGAACTACTAAAAAAATTGGTTTGCTGCTTGACAATGCAGAATGGAGGTGAATC